TTCAATTCCCTATAGCCGAATTAATAAACCTCCAGGATTTCCGTGCTTTTTCAGGTGTCCACGGCCACTACGCTCATCTCCAATTATGATCATCATAAACATCGATCACGGCTCGTAAACACAACTCCAACGATTCCTGCTCTCCTCGAATGCAGGATACGTCAAGCAATATTTATACCCGGCATGAAACCCAATCTCTTTAAATGCACGTTTCTATGTTATTGCTTGGGGTTCAGTACCAGCATCATTGTCTGCCAATATCCTCGAATGAACGTCTTTAATTCATTCCTTTTCTCAGCTATATGGGATGTAGTCTAACAGCGAGATTTCTCGGCAGGGCACCTGGGGTTCGATTCCCCATTGGTGTCAGTGATCCAGGACTTCATCATTTTTGACGGGGTAAATGCACGAATGCATTCATATACACTGCCTTTAGCTGTATTTAGATGTGTCGTTAGCCTCGCCGCAGACAGCTACTGGCGATTTTTCCTCTCACCATTAAACCAGACATAGCCCAACGGCTAACGTGATTTTACAGAGCTCGATTCCCCGTATCTGATTGACGCCGTATTTCCCGAGTGATTTTTGTAAGGAAAGCACACTTTCACATTTCAGTTCCATACAAGGAATACCGGATACGAGAAACTCTTCAACGCTTCAGCTCTTGGGAGTTTAAGCTCGGAATCAGTCGAAAGAAAACCGGTAAAATGCACGACAAAGAAGACACCAACGTGAGACTGGCGATATGGTAGGGGACTAGCTCCGCAGGCTGAAATACGAGTCGGATGGGTGAAGGGAGAGAATAAAATGCACGGCGGCTTGTATATCCCATATCAGAGACTTTACCTTTTCTTTATCTCTGGACAAAAATTCGTTGTTCTTAGCGAACAGTTTCCCATGCTAATACAAAGGTGATAGCGTTAGAGCACAAGGAGGCTATCTCTTACGGAAGACAAAGGGCTCACCGGAAGACGGATCCGCTCACGGATCGGGGTGGAAAAAGGTCTGATAATTGACCTCTGAGTGGACGGGCAGGTTGACCCAGAAGGTAGAACAAATCCAAAGTCGTGCACGCAGAAAGGTCTGCTTGGAAGATGCCTAGACTGTCTCCACGCGCCGTGCATCCTACCAACCAAGTATATGCGCCTGCCCTTTGGATAACCCTATCGATTCGCAATGCTTGTCGATGGGCAAGTCCGTTAGAGTTACTGGAAAATGCAGGTAGGTAGCGGAGCTGGGAAGGGTGATGCGTCCTAGCCACGATGGTTATGCTAACTGCAGCATTAGCGTAGCCTCATGCAAGCAAGAACAGGTCACTCACGGAGATAGCGCCTGTGTCCACCTGTGGTATAACCTCAGTGGTTCGGTGTAATTGTTCGGCCCGAGTGACCGGCTAGGCGAACACTCATCGCTAAGTACCGGGGCGACAAATAATCGAGCGGAAGTGATGGATGGAGTCTCAATAAGGAGACGTGCGTGATCCTCTTCTGCACCCTGGCATGTTAGCGTGCGAATCCCGACTTTGGGTGGAGCAGGTTGGTTGAGGAAGGATTAAGCAAGCAATGCCATGATCAGGCCCAGGGGCGACACATTGGGAGTACAAGGAGACGGTGTACTCAGAAAATCTATCTTCCTGTTCGTCTTCCGGCACATCCAGATTCCACACCAGTTTGTTGGTTGTAAGCTTTTTATCTTTGCCTGGTTAGTTGATGACTGTGACGCGAATAGCGATTGCCCTGTTGATAAACCTGCGCTTATTCGTCGTGGTTGCATCGTGGATGGAAGCAATGTAGCAAGGTTTACGTACGCATCAGATCAAAATCACCGTGCCGCTGTGCCGGACCTTCTTCGCGCCCTGCTTTCCCCGCATATTGATGGCAGGCCTGGCTGCCTCAACCTGCATCCTTTGTCGAAGCCTAATAATTGCCTAAATGAGTGTGTAGAATCAAGTCAGAGCCACCAAGTACAAGGAGCGCCTTTGCTATCATCACGCATAGAATCACCTTGTCGTCATATATCTTGGATATGGCATAATCGCCAGCATTTGCATCTTAGCTAGAGGGGGTTCAATTCCCTCTATCAGAATTATTATATGTCCCTGGGATCCATAATTTCTCAAGTCCTTGCACCCTATACACGCTTCTTTAATCACAATCATCAGGAATATTCTTGCAACCCGCAACTTGAAGTCCGGATATGGTCTACCAGCGAGTCCTCCGTCGCACCCACATTCCCAATCTCAGAGAATCCGAGCAACAATTGTCTGGACCCTTCAAATACCGCAATGGCATATTTTCTTTCACTGACCAATGACCAGATATAGCTCAACTGTTTACGGGGCTTTTCCGAGGTTCGATTCCTCATCTGAATACGGAGTTCATGAAATGATATCTTTTTGATTTATTTGCGTAAAGAATCACTGAGAAGACATGTACTGAATCATGTCTAGTCTAGTAAATTATGCTTCCAATACATCTTCCGGCGGCGGTTTTCCCTACAGCCCAGAAATTGCCCGGTACTGATCAGTACTTTGTCATGACCATCCCTACTACAGAGTTCGTGCTTCTCATCCAATAAGTCTCTATTATTTTAATGGAAGGTTCAATTCCCTCATGATCGGTAGGTTATGAGTGGTGTTCCAGTCCAGATCCAAAAATGCCTCAGACACAATATCCATATTCAGATGCGAGGAATCGAACCTCTGCAAAGTCTCATAAATAGCTAGGCTATGTCTGGTCGGTGAAAGAAAAGTCGTCAGTGGGGCCCTTGAAGGGAAGGTACAGTCCTCGTCTGGACACTCCGAGATTGTGACGATAGCCGGTTTACACCGTGCCGGCACTCTGCTCCTGGGAAGTCACCCGGCGGCATCGTTCATTAATCATTCTTTTGTAGTACGCGCCATGGTATTGCGTCTTGTTTGTTTCTGCAGCAGAACCTGTTCCCTTCACGCATTCGGGAGGTCATCATGTATCACTCGGCGGTTCAATTCCCCCCATTCGAATTAGTAGTCATTAATAATCCTAGGGCGCGAGGCTGCAGTTGATTATCCATCAAACAGCATGGCTTTCTATGGTTGTGCACAGAATTACATCGGCCTCACATACTTCTGATATGGCATAACCGCCAGCGTATTCGCCTTGACTGAGGAGTTCAATTCCCTATAGCCGAATTACTAAATCTGCACTGTTTCAAGTGTCTATGCCCACTACGTGCTACCCCATCATCAACCATCGATCCCGACTGCGGTGATTCTCCAATCTCTTCGAACGCAGAGTACATCAAACATAACTTGCAAGAACCGCCGCAAAATGGATTCCCAACCTCCTCAAATTCTTCTTCTATCATTCTTTCACTTGTCTGCTATATCAGATACAGTACAACGGCGCGGTAGGACATCTGGGGTTCGATTCCCCAGTGCGCTCATGAGGATCTGTGAGTATCACTTTCCCCCCCTACGCATATGTGCTGCTGGTGAAACCATTTAGGTCTTAAACTATGATCTACCCTAGCGCTCACAAGTGGACATCTCTTCTTCCTTTTTATTATGGTAGAAACGGGAGGCGCATCCATGGGTACGTGTGCTTTATCTGTAGCTCTATATATCCCAACACGGGGGAAGTGTGTCTCATCACAACTTCAAAGACTGTAAGCGATATCGATTGCTTTCCTTCAAATACCCCACTGGCACCTTTCCTTTCACCAACCAGATTAGCCCAACTGTTCACGAGACTTTCCAGATGTTGGATTCCTCGTATTTGGATAGTAGGAAATTCCACCAGGGATTTTCAATTTCAATTTCTACATCAGTGTCACATTCCAGTCCCCGTATGAAGATACTGTAGACTCGAATTGATTGAGAAGATGTATAGGGACTCATATGTACTCCATTACATTTCCGATCCACTTCCTGGCGGTAGTTTCCTCTCCGTACCAGAAACCAACCCGGTACCGCATAGTACTTCATCACTACCGAGTTTGTCCTTATCAGCTAGTATGTCTCTATTCGCACGGCAAGACAAGTCCCATCCCCTGGACCCTAGCTATGACTTGTGTTCTAGTCAAGATCAAGACAGTACCCACTTCGTACTCTCCACCCCAAGTAAAAGGTGAAGAGAGTGTCAAGATTCACCAAAGCCACGATATTCAGATATTAGGAATCGAACCTCTGGAAAGTCACGTAAACAGCTGGACTATATCTGGTCAATCAAAAGGAAGACGTCAATGGGGTCCTTGGACGTAAGGGACAGTCCTCGTCTAGATTGATGATAACCAGTTTACGCCGCGTCGGAATATGATTTGGATGAACACGATACTTCTATCTGTATGTTGGTTAAGCTCGCAGAGAATGCCCTGCATCATCACAGACAGTACACTTGAAACACGGCCGAAGGAATGAGTCCGGGGTGGTCGATTTCAGATGCTGATAAGCAGACGTCGGAGAACCCATCGCGATGTTGAGATTCCCTTGATAAATACTGGCGGTGAAAATCGTCTTGAGCTTGAGTGTTATTCTTGATGGGACTTATGAAGAACATTAGAGACAGATAACAAAGCCAACAACAGCTTAAGAGCACATCATACGTGCAGTACAGTCGCTCAAGCTTCCACGAGTAGCCCGTTGCACAGTGTACCACAATAAGCCCTCTACCGTGTACTGACTGCTAGGTTTGAGGAGAACGTTAGCAATTAATAATAAAGCTTAGAATGAATAGAACACATACCAGTCGTGCAATCAAGTCGCCTAGGATCATTTACAGATAGCCCGTCGCAAGACGTTTCACAATAAACCGCCTACCCCTTAATGCTAGGAGCGGAACGAATGCAGGGATGAAACCCGTACGGAAATACCAGGATACGTGCTGCAGACACTAAGCGGCGGTACTACTGCCAACGTCTCAACATTTAACTCTGTGCGGTTAGAGTAAATCACAGTGACATTCATTTATAAATGGAGGTGTGGTGGGCTTTCGCCGCGAGCTTCTGGATTGATTGAGACATCGAGCAGGTCAAGAAACGCATAGGATCTATCCATTCCTAATTTATCGAACATTGAGAGGGTAGCGAATACGAACAACCTCCGGCACATCAACTCCTAGAAGTAACAGTGATACCGAGGATCACTGGCGCCCTTCCAATCCACTAGATAAGCACGCTTTATTAGAACCCAGCCCAAAGGAGGAATGAAGCCCACTCACCACACCGCCAACAATCCAGCAGATGTTCCGAGTCGCTATGCAATCGTCAGTCAAGGACAAGGAAAGAAACGCAAAAGACACCAACTATTTCCCCTTCACTCTCACCAATTCCTCGTAATGCTCTCCCCAAAACGCCCGTTGCCAATCAGGTTCGTACACATCCGCCTCGTTCCCATACGCTCCACCTCCAGGTGTGATAGCTCTTAATGGGTCCATACTTCGTGATAGATCGCGATACGCCTTTTCTTGCTCGTCAGGAGACGCCGAGTAGTCCCATACCTGGCCAAAGGTGACCTGCGCAGGTCGTCAGCATCACGGATATAACACGAGCACGACTAAACTGACGTCCCAGATGCTCCTCCTCCATGCATCCGTCACGCTCGTCTTGCCATCTCCAGGGAATGCATACTGGCGCGTTTGCAAAGATGAATGATGCTGGGAGAGTGTTTATGAGCTGCATCAACGTGCTCAGAAGCTCCTTGGGTGACTCGGAGAAGGTCTCCGCCAGGGATGAGACGCGAGGTGGGGAATACGGGGATGCATTTTGGCTATTAGAATCGACATTAGTACAGCAGTGAGGAGAGAAGGAGAGAATGCAGACCAAGCCAACCGAAGAGAGGTGCAGATACTTTCTCGTGGAAATCCCCATACGAGTGACTTGTCGACACTCGCATCTCAATATGGAGTTCCTCTGCAAGGAAGGTCTTGAGTGGTGCCATGTATGCAAGCGCGTCATCTTCAGTCGTTTCGAGTTTAGTCATGTGGAAAATTCCGGCAGTCTAATGTAGGATCGGTAGACGATAGACATAGACACAGGTAGCGGCGTACATAGATGTATCCACTCCAGCCTAGAGAAGGATGGTGATGAGAGAAGAAAGATCCACTATCAGAAAGCACTCGCCGTCTTCTGCCCATCCGACTGAGTAAGGGATGACGAACTCCAAAAACTTCTGGATGGACGTTGTAGGCTTGAACAACGCTGACACACTAGTACATCTTTTGTCAGAGCAAGGAGTAGCATAGAAAAAGTAGCATACGTGACGAGCTCTGCTCTAGGTAGCGCCCGCGTTGTCACCTTCATGACGACACCGAACGTTCCACCCCCTCCTCCACGGAGAGCGAAGAACAAGTCGGGGTTCTGACACTCGTTTGCAATGAGGAGGTCGCCAGTAGGTACAACGATCTCAAATTCGAGCTGTGCGCGTGAAGTTTAGATACCTGAAAAGGTGCAGGAGAACCGTACGTACTACGCGGTCAACTGCTAGTCCGAATATGTTTGATAGCGGGCTAGACGACAGAACATGAGTTACTGTTAACAGGACCAAGAGGTTTGGTCAGACCTGTGACCGCCACCCTAGAACAAAAGACAAGTCAGTATGTAGTCGTGTCGAGAAAAGTAACGAACTAACCTGCAGGTAACCCCCTCCAACGCCAACTGTGGCATCCGAGCCTCCAGGTATCGTCAGGTTATTCTCGTTCGCAAAGGCTAATAAATCCGAAAACTGAGCTCCGCTCTACAGTAGACGTTGAGCGCGCGCACTTATGGAAGTGATCAGCAGCTTACCCCAAAAGTCACAGCGGGAATCGGGTCCGCCGTTGCTTCGCATCCTTGCGGGACGAAGGTCTTCTCGTAGGATATCTACTCGTAGTAATGAGCGTCAGTATTCCTAGGTAGGGCAGATGCTGACCGATTTCAGGTGGTGTGTCTACGAGTACGAAATGAGGCTTTCAATCGGCGCCGACTAAGAGTGGAAGACATACCCAAATGCCTAATGTCCCCGGTCCACTGCTCCGACCCATGTAATCGTGCTGAGGAAAAAGTCAGCCCGGGCCTACCCAGAACGTCAAGCTGACGCACTCCAGTATTCTTGATGACTACAGGAACGCCCGTACGTCTCGAGAAATCGAAAGCCGCTGACACATCCGTATGGTCGGCGACATCAATCTAGTTTTCCTGTTAGCAGGCTTGTAGATGGTGGGAGAGCAACGCACATAGTAAGAAGGAACTGCGCCTTGTCTACATTCTCCATCCCTTGCTGCCGCGTTCATCCAGTTCAGAGCACATTCCTCTCTAGTCGCTTGACAGGTTTCCCATTCCGTCTGGAGGGGTAGGTAAATGCACTCGACGTTTCGGGAACGAAGACAATACCCACGTTGATGTATGCGCCAAAGTAGTCGGATCGTCGAGCTGCGATTAACTCAGAATGTGTTAGGGAAGAGGGAGAGAGAAAAAACGCACCAGGATCAAGGTACTCGTTTATCACCCCTGTGCATTCTCCCTCGTCGAAGGACGCGCTAAAGCAAGTTCTGGCGTATGGTGTAGCCCGTTGGAGTCGTCCGCCAATCGTAGCATTCAATGAAGACCAAGCGCATTCGGGTATCGGGGCATCTATCAATGCTATCAGCACACGCTATAGTGGAAAGAAATACTGAGCCGACCTGGATGCAGCCTGGCCTGCCCATAGCCGAGATCGAAATGTGGTTCTTGGACGTGAAACTGGTCGCTGCCGTCAACGAAGAGGACATTTGTGAGTGCCAGCAGTGTTGGGAGGGCTAGCATCATGTCAGTGAAGGGAAAGCAGACGAGACGTGCGAGTCCTTACATAGGTGATAGACCCGGGTATCCCTTCGCCGCCGCTCGCCTGGCGCAGACGCGGTCAGCCGCTGCGAATGCCGGGTAATACAGCGAATATTGGCTTCATAAGACCGTTCCCGAGATCCAAGAGAAGAATCCAGAGCTGCAAAAAAAACCTATTTCAGTCTGTAGGACTTCCCTGCCAGGTGAAAAGTTTACCACTAGCCCACAACCCTCAGCATTCTCCAAATTTCACCGACAACGTGAGAGCAGCTACAGCTATACGCAAGGATGGCTTGAGAGAAAAACGGTTGCCGTCGTTCGAGTTCCAAGCAAGACGGCGCCATACTGGTAGTGATGGTGGTAGGAAGGAAAGAGGAATTAAGAATATGGCGTGGGAAATGGATGCTCTCGATCACGTGCAGTCTGTCGACGCGCCGACAATTTGAATTTCTGACGGGCGTCGGGTACTTCTTTCTAAGTTAATTCTAAAGGATCTGAGAGAAACCGTGAAATGGAGCTCGTACATTAGCGCAATTTCACTGCTTGCACTGATGAATTAGCGATCTCAACAGAAACGATCTGGCTCGCTTGATTATCGCGAACTTGCGTTTGAAGGGGGAAAGCGGGGATTCGACGTTAAAAGGCTATGTACTATACAACGTCTTATTGGTTCCGCATATATGGCGCCTGTACTTGTACCGAAAACACGTGTTCAAAAGTATTCGACAGGCCCTTTAAACGTCCGTTTCGAGCCTATAGCCAAAAAAAACCTGTATTAGCAGTCAGAACACCAGGTAAATCAGACAGGTCAGGAGGAATATTTCGAGATCCCAACCTCAAAGATACAGCTGACTTCTTCGACGAGTGCAGCTATTGAACAGATCCTACGCATGAAAATGAGAGTAGTTTCCCTAGTCCATGACTCGATAAACGCGATAGGCTGATGATAGATCAGACCGCAAACATCCACATCCAGAACACGACCTCCGAGAACCGATATCCGCACGTGATCGTGTCTGAATCTTGAAGCTTCCATCTCGGTCGAAGCCTATCGAATTCCACGCGAACCCTGATCATCACCACCACCACCATGTCCTACCGCCTCCTCTCCCTGTACGAGGTCCTCGAAACTACCCGAGAGACCGTCAAAGTCCTCTCAACCCTCGGTTTCAAATGCTGCTTAGTCGGAAGCGTCGCATGCTCCTGCTATGGCATGAGCCGATCCCCCAACGTACGTCCCACATTAAGCGCTCTGATATCTGATCCCCATCGTTATCAGGACATCGACATGGTAGTCCTCGGGTGCAGCTTCACCCAAGAAGAACTCAAACGCCGCGTAGTATCCACAAACCCCAGCTTCTACCTTATCGCATCCAAAGACCCCTTCGCGACGTACAAAGTCCTCTGGTACCGCCTCCCAGGATACAGGCGGAGCTGCAAAGTGGATTTGCTCTTCCCGGGGATTATGAACATCCCACCAGTCCCATCCGACAGTATCGTACACCGTCGACACTCGTACGACCGTCAGACGCTCCCCCTCATGCCATTCATCCCCCTCCTGCTACTCAAGCTCCAAGCGTGGATGGACCACGGAGAGTCGACAAAGTCGTATATGAACGCAAAGCAGCCGACTGATGTGAGAGACATCACTGAACTGCTCAACATCTTCGTGACGGCGGGGAATCTTGGGGAGCTGGGGAGCTGGATACCAGAGTCGTTCTTGAAAGCGGGGCGTAGTCGTAGAAGGGAGTTCGTTAGACTTTATCCCCACACCGCCAATCATTGGCAGAGGGTAAAACAGAGGCACGAGCAGCCTGCGCAAAGGAGACGCCGATAGGATTTTTGTCGAAACACGGCTTATTTTATATCTTTTCTTCATCTTCAAGTATTCTTCGTAGTTTTGAGAATAGATTCGATGACCAATACCAAGGTATACGAGTAAGAGCAAGATCCATCTTGACCGTTGCCGCCCGTAAATCATGCCGCCACAGCAAGGACAGCTTTGCCGTAACTGCAGTATATTAACACTGAACGGCATAACACGTAGAATTCGCGCAAGAACTTCGCATCATGATCATCGGGTCCTCAAGAAAAAGCCATCAAATAGCAGAACCGAACAACGAAGTACATCGTACACCTTACAATTTCCGATTTATCAAGACCTCTTGGATCCCCTCCATGCACTACCACCCCCAATCCCAACACCGAAGCTTCCAAAAGCGCCCGGACTCGGAACAGGAGACTGCAAATCCGACTTCCGATAACCCGTCTGGGGCATCGCCTGGATCGACAAAAACTTGTTCGGCTGTGGCCTGTCGTCCGTATTATACTGGAACTCCAACCCAATCCCGTCTGCTTCAGAGACGTCGAGTAGCTTGACGAGCTTCCTCCCAATACCATTAAGCTTCTCCACGTCGTCCTTGCTCCTTGTCCAGACCTGGATCCTGTCGACTTTGCTCCTAAGACTGACGACCGCGCCACAGATCTCATCGCCCTCCTCGAGCTCCTCGCCTACCAGGGCCATGGCGAGCCAGTTCCAGCACCTATCTAGCAACCCAGGGTTGTTCTTCATCGTCAACACCCATTTGCCCCCGTTCGCGTTAGCCTCGTCCTCCCACATGGGCTTGATACCCGATTTGAAGAGGTGGTAATTCGAATTCCGCTCGAGCTTGGAGGGAGATTTGAGCCAGTTGAAGTACCGGCAAAAGTCTTCGACGGTGTTGAACTCGCCAATGACAGTAAGGCCAGCTTCGTAGTCATTGGATTCGGTCGAGTGGGAAAAGGTACCGTCTGTAGCAGGAGAGGGTTGCGAGTTCGAGGCGGGGGTGTAAGGGAATTTCGCTTTCGTATCATGGTAGATCGTCCTGAAAATGACCAAGATTGGTACGAAAAGGCGCGAAGAGTAAGAGACGTACCAAACATACTGCAGCGGGTGCTCGGGCGCCTTCATCGGCACACCTGGCGTCTTCGGATCCTCAATCATCTCCGCTTCCGGTGGCTTAGCCGAGCCATCGATGCTCAGCGCACGAGTCTTGGCGAGCCTGGCAGTGATCGCATCCAAGCTCGGGATGTTCTTGTATCCAACCTTCACGTTCTTCTTCTCACCCTCCAGCTGATTATGTTTCTCCAGCTTCTCCGCCGTCAGCGGTTCCCCGCCTGGAGAAACGACTTCAACTTCTTCAGCTGGAGGCGTCGATGGCGAGGCCGATCTCGTCGTGGGTGCGTTGACAGCGACGGAGTCTGCCGTCGTTACGGAGGAAGCGACTGATGTCGTCGAGCCGGTCCGCAGTGCAAATGCGGCGAGACGAGGTCGCGGAGCTGTTGTTGATGACGATGAACTGGGCGATTGGGTTGGTGGAACATTGATGTTGATGCGAGCAGCAAGCTGATTGAGCGATGGTAAGCGATTGTTGGCGGAAGGGCGGAGAGTGTCATTAGTGCTCGTCGTCATCGTCGTCAAAGACAAAGGCGCGAGTGCACTGCAATCAAAAATTACGGCCGTTACCGCTCTTGCCGGTTTCGGCACCGCCACTGATCCCGCAGTACGTGCCTGTGCTCCTCTTAAGCCACCGACTAGTTTATCTTCCTTGGAGGAAAACTCACCGCTAGACAAATGGTAGTTGCATGCAGAGATCATATTATTGAGATATTTACCTGGACGTAATATCTTATAGGTTTTCAAAAGGAAGACAAGAAAGGACCACCGGTAAAGCGCAAATCAGAATGACGGCTCCTGCAAGGAAAAGAAGGGAAAATAGCACCGGTCCGTACTTGTTCAATATGATACCGTACAGGAAACTAAGCCAAATTTTCTGACCTGCCATATTCAGTATTCACCCAGCGATTCAGACAGGACTGTTCTTCCTTTACTCTGCGTTGATCGACAGTGAACAGTCAATAACGATTACTGTGGTATAATAAGTTGGTCACCATAGGAGCGTAACCGGACAGGTGTAAAATGTGCACAACGAGGCATCACCAGTTCGAACACAGGGAATCGGACCCCGACTGACCGCACAACTCTGTCAGCCATTAACAGCCATTAAACCATATCCGAATACACTTTACTAATGAGCGACTCATCTTTAAGAGCAAACGAATTGACTTAGTCGTTCTGGCGAAGAACATGACCGGATTTTACCGACGCATCTTCTTCTGGTAGCCTCGCTCTCAATATCTGGTTGCTTGCTCGCTTTCATCTTAGCCCCATGACTTAAAAGACGTTATTAATACGCCTTTCCGTCAAAGGATACACGACTTCGACGTCTTATGCATAAACGGCTTTCGTGACAGCTAGAAGCCTCGGAGCAAAAAGGTATCTTTGCTGTTCTCTACTAAGGGATCCGTCATCACAGTCATAACTGTAACGGTGGTCAATAAAGTATCTTGCGTGTGCGCTTATCGCTTTCTTCCATTTCCAAGCTTATCCGACCGCGTTTCTCGTGTCTAAACACTCCCATTCTCCTTGACTGTGGCGACTATAAGCACAAAGGCGGCGACCGGGAGCAAAGTCACTGGTAGCATCCTCGAGACGGAGTTTGGCAAAGATGTTTATCTTGCTAAAGTCTTCAAAGCCATTGAAACAAACTAGATTTCTGATTTAAATCTCTAGTAAAGCGCTCTCCAAGAAACCGATTCTAGGACAGCCCCAACTCTCCCAACGCTCAGATCGAGTGATAATAGCAACCGCATATCAACAGACGCGTCTACTTGATTTGTTTCTTCCTTTCTTCCTTTCTACTTGCTGATAATTCATGAACCCCTTCCGCTTTCCTTCAGCGCCGCCACCCTTAATGCTCTATTATGCTCTATTCTTCACATGCAAAAGGTAGACACCAGTAGCGGCGATACTGAATTTTCGTCCATAGTAAGCATTCTAAGAAGCTATCACAGATACTTATTGGGGTGGACACCAGGAAGTAAGTCAAGTTCGTACGCGTTACTTGGCTGACATTTTCACTCCTCCTAATGTACTACCATATAGCTCTCGGCAGACGAGCAGCGAAAACCATTAGAGCGCGATTCATGACTGAATCACCCTTGTAGAATGAGCCTCGTGAAGTTTTCTCGTTGTCTCACGGCATTCATGGCGTACGGGTTTTTTGGGGAAGTAGAACTCGATGAGATCGGTCTCGTCTTGTCTGGAAATCAGGACTGTGAGTGTCGTTAACCGAGTTTCTATAGCATGTACTTAAAATCCATCAACTAAATTTACCGCTCCCAGGCTACGGACTTGTCTAGGTGCGAACTCACCAAGACCTGTACCCCGTTTTTGCTTCAAAAGTTCCTATTAATCTTCACCCTTTTCTTACCTAGGCTCTATTTCCAAATGATTCAAATGTCGGCGCTATCATTACTTACGAGATGTTATCGGAATAAGTCAGAGCCAAAGACGCTTCGTCAGTCTAGATCTCCCCATTTACTTAATTATTCTTCAATGCCGAAATGTAGGTGACAGTAGGCGTATCCTTCTCCCGGATGCCGTCTTGATACCCCGGATGTCGTCGGCCCGATCCTTCTGATGTGAAAGCGCTAGTCTCCCTTGGATACTCGCTACCTCCCCCCGGGATCTCGGAATGTTCATGTATTCAATAGGTCCCTAGCCATATGCCAATAAGCGTGATTAAGTATTGAAACCCTCTCCTGGGCGAAGTTCCCATGTCACTGGGAAAGGCCCGTACATCCCCCCTCTTTCAATTAAATACCCCTTTGCATGAGACCCATCGATATCCGCCTTTCATCCGATTTAGAGATCCAGAGATCGTTCTTTTGGACTTAAAACTTTCACGGAGTATGAATTCCGGTCTGCATTTCAACGGAAGAGCGGAGATTTCCTGCATATAATGAAGTAGCGTTCGTGCAATCGTAGCATCTATTCAAACTACGAGACTCTGTCCTAATACCGCCGATCCTCGATTTGTTGTTATCATTTCTCTCAATTTCAAGCACGATGCATGCTCCTTTCCGTTTCCCATTACGCCGTGGACCTTGTTTTCTGCTCTCGAAGTTTGAGGTGTGTGAATAAACAGACGGTTATAAACACGCTGAGTCGCTGACAGAGGAACGGGATTCGATAACCTGGCCTGGTATTGAATTGGGACTATCGGAAAACGGGGTAACAGCTCGTTCCCAGTATCACATGCGCAGTAGCAAGCCAATAGTATTGTGCTTGGCTGAGCTCTGCAAACGCATAAGGATTTACACTACAATACCTACTTTTATACTAAATACTATTTTTACTAGCATCTTCCACTCTTTTCCTACTTCTTCTACCTTAATAAGCGAACTTCGGCACGATGCCGGATTGCCAAATCCCAACAGGGACCATGGGGATCGCAGTTTGTATTGGCTTAGATATGATGCCATGACATCAAAGACGGCACGGAGAAAAGAAGTCGAAGGACTGAATGTCTACAAAAACTAGGGATCTGCATGGAATTCCGCAAAAGGTGAATATAATAAAGGAAGGCACATTAAGCCACACCAAAGAAGTATGATTTATACGCGTCATTTACCCATCCGGGGTCGCGTATGCACCGAGGAGGGCCCCACACCGCGCAATTAATGGAAGTACTGAACTGGAGTGGGTCGAGGCTAGAATTTGAGGGGGATAGAGAGTATGTGCGATGTCGGACTATAGGTTATTTTGCTTATGTCGTTGGCAGAAAGCTTGGCCTCGGCAGAAAATCTGAAAGCGGAGATGAAGTACCCGCTGGACTGGACTAGGTGTTTGTGAGCGATGGGAACAATGTAGGAACCGAACTTTTGAGACGAGAACTGATTCCTCTTGCGCGTTCTCGAGAAACCCATATAGGTATTTGGATTTTAAAGAAAAGGGGCGCATTCAATAAAGTTAATTTCTTGAGTTCTGAACGGAGAAAAGGGCGAGATGCGTCGTGAAACTAGGGCCCAGGAAAGTCCCCCACCAAAATAGCCACGTCGAATAAAATGATCTTGATATGTTGACGACGAAGGTTGCAGCAGCACCATTCTCCTCGGACCGGAACTCCTTTGATGCAGATGCTTACCCATGGTTCGTTCCCTAGGGGAACGATTCCATTGGAATTCTGCTGCGAGTGATGCCCGTGTCAAAATCCTTTAAGGCTGTTCCGCTTACTTAGTGAATAAGCAAGTATTATGCAGGGGATGACATAGGGCTTTCATCTTCCTGCGAAGATCTGAAAATTTTCTATTTGGTAAGTTCAAGGAAGAGAGTCGCATACGCGAGTGATTGCGCACCGAGGTATCGTATTTTCTGTACGTACCTGTGATTAAGGAGCGTTGTAACCAGAGGATATGTCCAGCTACTTACCTCTATGCTTCATACATTCCTCAGGGTAGTCCTGCGGTCGCTTTGGGATTTATCTTCAACCCTAGTAGATATCGAACAACGTCGACTTGAAGTCTGGCATGGCGCCAGAGTGAGTGGAAGCTATGGCCATGAAACACGCATCATAGACATACGGCACATCGGCCGTAATAAATAGCAAATTCATTGAGAGTGACATGTGACAGCATGTGGCCGAGAAGCTGTGAAAGGGTTCCTTCGAGTCGGTATCACCATCGCGAACAGTTCGCCTTCTGATGAAAATGTGCGAGCCTGTTTCGGGCACTGTTTCCGAATCATTTGGGATAGAATTGTGAACTAATACCGAGGTGATCAATGGCCAATTTCTTCTGAGAATTGGGCTGCATACTCTTTGAACACAACGCAGGAAAGCTAGAGCAAGGTCTCAAGAAGAACCAAGAAGGGCAGTCACTTGTCAGTTATGTGTAGCAGTGAGCAAGCTCTGGATGACACATGATGTCACACCACCTAAGAATCGAAATCGTCCGAGCCGTCGCCACAGCTGTTCTTTCTTTTGTTCTATTACCGTCACTTGAATAGTTTTTCTCTTCTTCTTCTCTTTCTTAAGATTCTACTTCTTCGGATTTCGGCCGGAATCCAGGGATTATCAGGAAGGAATATCAGTGCAATCGACTGAAGATATCCTCGTTCCTGCACTAAAGGATGAGCATATACCTCTTCCCGGATTGATTCATTCTATGCAAGTTTTATGTCTCGTCCCGGTTCAAAAGCCGAATTGAACTGGTCGATGGGCGCTTCCTTATCTGGTTAGAACCGCATATATCTCCTACTTATCAACTCATTAACGCATCAGAAGATCCGTGATTTCGTTTTACCCATGCCGGATATGCTGTCAGGTGCAATGTAATATATTTTTCTTGACTACCAAACTTGGCCGCCAGCCTCAGGACCAGATAAAAGGCAGATTTCTTTCCAGTGATTTTCTCAAGTCTCGTCCTTGCACTTTACAAAAGATCATGTGCACTTCATGGTCGTCCTCTATTCTGGCTTGTTATCAACCTGGTCAGAAACCATCTAGCTCAGCCTCGACGCCGCCATCATCATCCGCGTCGATGCTCATGGCTCACACATTAAAGGAGCCACAATGCTGCCATTGCGGATGGAGGGGAGCCCACGCTCCGGGATGTCCTTTCAAGTAACGGAATGAGATCTGTGTACATTTATTGTGCTTCTCTTCTTTCCGTCGTCGTCGCTTACTACCCTTTCGACTCCAGATCTCTTACACACACCGTTCATTCCACATCGTTCTTTCATTGTTGTCGTTGCTTTTTATTGCTGTCGTCCTTCCCCCGTCCGCGTTCCGCACATATTTTAATATCCTCCTCCGTATTTGTATCATGCATGAGCTACACCAATTGGACTTGGACTTTCTGTTTTTATATAATTCAGATACTTGAATCTGCAATTACTGTGCTCGACAAATGATTGTTATCTGTGCCTGCCTTGTCATCTGCGCAAGTACCATGAGAGATTTGGGGATATTTCTCTGAATATCACAGGGCACAGGGGGGCCAGAAGTCGAAGCGTGAGACTTCCATAAAGAATCGGACATCCTTTCATTTAATTCTCCCCCTTGATGGGTGATCTATTCGTTTTCAACTCATACAAGTACGCGTTTCAATAATTTGTGGACTGTAGCACCATTTTCAGGGTCCTATCGATTACTTCCACGGAGAAAGCGAACAATTAATATATCCACAGATGCCCTAGTGTCGTTGATGACTTTTTTTTTTAGGTTTATATCACCATCTTCGCCTATATTTTATACACTGATAACATTAATGAGTAGCTCGTGTTCATCAATTACACACAGTTCCAATAGTCGTACCTGAACTAGCTATATGATGTGCGATAACAGATAAGTAGTATACATGTGAAGTTGCTGTCATGCCACCCATCTCTCTAGTCTATAAAAAAGAACCTCTCATGTAAGAACATTCCCTACATCACCGGTACTGTATTCCCGTACTGCGGTAAGCATGCGAAGACAAAAGTAGGAACGAAACACACATTTGGTTCAAGGCATCTTGGATCAAGGTCACAAATTATTTTGGTTTCCCGTGTACCGGAATAGCTGTAGGCTTCAGTTATCGCGATGATCCCGTGAAATAAATAAGCCTACTTTATCGATTCCTGCATCACTCGCCATCATATCTTGTGCGTTATGGCCCACGTCGGGTACCCAATCGACGGTAGTGAGATTCGGGATACCACCCATATCTTCCAGCATCGCAATGAAATTCTAACCCCTTGCTAAACGCGTTCGTCCTTGTGTCTGGATGATGTGATCAAATTCCAAATACAGGGAGAAAAAAAGACTCGAATATGGAAACACACCTGTGCTTGACACCCAGGATCACCATTTCCATTGTCTTTCGAAAGGGATTTCTCAGCAAGAATCTCTTGGAAAAAAATTATCAAACGTACCATTCCCCAAGCCTAATTTAGCGTGCGGCTGTAGTATCTCTTAACGATATCATCTCTTCCAAGAGCACGAGCGCTCTTGCTTGCATACGCGGGGAAATTTGACTTCAGTCCGTACTTGAAATCATCGAAGCCTTTGCAGCCATCGTCGGGAAACGGACGATTCGACGTTAGCCAACACAGCGATGCCGGATTAGCTGGATACGGATAAGAACTCTCTGTTATACTGCCTACAGAGGAACAACTCACCGACCCAGAAATGCAACATGTCGTCGTTGTCAGTAGGTATCCTCAAAGTCACGTAACGCTGAGCCATCTGACCTCCGGCTGAGTGGCCTCCGATGACAAGGACCTAAAATTAAGTACCAGAGCCCTCGTGCGTTGTCAATAAAGTCGTCACCTTTAGATTTGGGTAAACATTTCTGTTCATGTAATACGCGACTAATGCATCGAGAACGTCGAAACTGTTAACTCCGCATACAGAGTCAGGGGCGACATTGCGGTGTCCGCTTATCCATGTCGTTTCTTCCCATAAGAGCTGTCTATCATTTGCAGCGCCCGCGTTTAGATCAGCCTTCGTAAGGAAGCATGGGCACATGATTGATATTTGGCTATGCTTGATAGTCGGGTCATTGTAGGTTGCATTGTAGAGTGCGTTATTTGCTGTATTCCAATCTGCATAACAGACATAAGAGGAATGCTAGATACGCGGTATTAGGTACACACCCGACCAGCAAGCCCTTTGATGCACGAGTACAGCAGTGGAAATAACAGTCCGTGCTTCAGAAATATGACTCACCTTGCCCTGCAAAATAATGACTGCTCTCGTGACTTCTGCCGTGTCGATACCTGCGGTTTGATAAATAGGCTGGGAGGTTTTCATATATTAATGAGAGAAATGGTACAGACACAAGGAAAAACTCACTAGATATGCTCCTTTATCATTATCAACCCATTCAGGATACATAGTTGCATCGACAATGTTTGGGAGACATTTCCAACCATTTTCACCAGATCCATGCACTTCTGGGTCTGAGTTTTGCCGTTGTGCGAGAGCAGAACGCATCGGCGAACGTGGAAGCGTTGGGTACGGCCCACTGTGACTTCCATGACCATGTGTGCTTTAGGGTAGGATGGATGCATACCATTTACGTGACTTGGTTTCCGTATTTAGAATCGTTGACTCACGACTATTAGCAGCTATACTCCCTCACGCCTCTTATATCTAAAGATAATGTCGCAAGACGTTGAAAAATATTAGCAGAGAGCTGAGAACCATGGTACCTGATGCCCGAAAGCAGACGAGGCTCTGATTTCTGTCTTTCCTTTAATCCTCGTAAACGGAATACTGAGGATCGATGAGGGAATCATTCGAATGATCGTCAATACGCGAATGGAGGAGCCTGTGCGGTTGGATCCCCAACCTCTCGGAGGCCGAATCCGAATCCTCAGAAGCTCTCCGGTATGTGTCCAGTAGGTACGGTTCATCTCTTGTAAACTCCTTTGCTTATCATTAGCAGCCATAAGCAAAACTCGCTCATAAGGGAGTCGTATTGCCAGACATCCCTACGAAATATGTTGAAATAACTAATTCTTAGATTATCGCAATCTGTGCATTTGTAAGATCAACATATACCAACGAATGTCTTCACCTAGTTTTGGATCCCCCTGCGAGCTCGTCAATAGGCTGCGCGCCTTTGACTACTTTCTTCCTCGCCACTCATCACCTCTACATCCTACCCATACATAAGAATTATGTCCAAAGTTAATGCGAAGAGCAGCGACACCGAAACCACGCTTACGGTCGGCTGCTAAGAAGAGGTTAGAGTCTTAATCATGACATTTGACCGGCAGGGTTATCGGGAACGATATAGATGTCCTGGTATGTGCTATCTTTCTGACATTATTCTCTCACTGACGTGTATTCGGAATATCTCTTTCTCAATTGTCGAGCATCAAGAGACGACTGAACAACGTGACTAAATCGCTGGACTGCTGAAATGGAAGATCATCGGCTTACCTCTCGTCATTTGTTTGCAGTCAGACTGGCTCGGATCGGTTGTGAGAGGAGTTCCAGTGCATGGATGTCTGCCTTATAACGAACTGTGCCGTCAACTGGATGGTGTCAAACGCAGGTTATTCTTTGCTCTGAGTGTTTTATTTTCCTGTTCTTCATACATTGATGTCGACGTTTGCGTGTAGTGGCTTCGAATCAAGGAATGTCCTGACTGCGACTTCCCGTGCGTGAGATATCAAAGCATCGCTGTTTATACTATGTAAGATCGTAGAAGCTACCGCGCTATCCCAATGTTTACCTACCTTCAACCTAAATCTCTTCCCAAGAAAACGCGAGCACTCCAATAGAGCGACGGTACGGCTCTCTCCTCGGTTTGGGCTTTAGCTTCGCTTGTCAAATCTTCTTCCAGCTCGTATCCGTAGCATGATGTTCCCTCGTTATCTATCTTTCACCCAAGATGTCGACTAAGGGCACACTGCGAACCAGGTATAATACAATTCCTTTTGTTATCCGGATCAAATTCTTTCAGTCATGTTGTGTTAGAATGGTACTTGCATTAGTCGGAGCCTAGAGTATAAGCTACCCGATGGCTACGATCTGTTTCTTCCGGTATTTTCTGGAATATGAAGAGATGAGAATATTTTACGAGCCCGTTCATCAAGATATTTTATGCCACATTCCTGGTAGCTGCAGATATGTTCAGTAAGTGCGCCTGATTTTACTTTAAACGTCAGGCTTCGTTTCTTACCCACAATTGGCCGATGCCGAGAGCTGTCAAGCGACAAGATATCTTGTAAGCGCTGAACTAGAGGCTTGGTATTTCGGAGGATTAAGCTTCGTCAAATCTGCCGAGCCTGAAATAAGACCCGCCGTCAGAACGGATTTGTATGAAGGGCATGGTATGTTCATACCGGTATTCTGTACAAAGTCACTTCATACAGATCCGCTCTGACGGCGGGTCTTATTTCAGGCTCGGGAGATTTGAAGAAATGAACGCCGGTTATAGTTACTTCGAGGATGACGCGAGTTCCGTAGCCACTCTAAAGGACGCCGAGGAACGGTAATCGATGCACAAGAGGGAGAGAATAAACCTTGAGACACCACGAAACCTCGACGCTATGCAAGCTGTGAGTATCTACAGGAAGGATACGACCATGTGAACGAACCTCAGTAGCACCGACAGTAGAATCTGGGCCTAGAGTAGGCGGAGCCCATAAGCAGCTATAGGATTCGTATGTATAAGAGATTATCAACGGAAGGGTGAAACGGACAAATCATCAACAGCGTTGACTAAATTAACCATCAGACGTAAAATAGCCTAGGGCGGCAAAAGAATAACGCACTATGGACATTTTTGCACATCGAGCCTTGACTGGATGTCGTCTCCCATTTGTTGGTCCCAGTTTGACCTTGCTCCGTTTTGTCGGGCGCGGTATCCGGTAGGTAGGTCGCGGTACACTGTGCACCTACAGAAGAGAGCATTGCGGAGAGAATGGTAACAGCGAGGGCATGCATGTTGACGTTGCGTGGCGAGAGAAAGCCAAAGGGTTTTGTTGCTAAATATAGAATAGAGGTTATGAGCTATGGGTCTTGACTGCAATATGACATACTTGTTATTAGCTTGCGATGCCTAAGACGGTCTGATAAGTAAAGAAAAGATGGTCGACATGCATTGCACATAGTATCGTCTTTTCAGCGCGACAACCTTCCTACAATGATCGTCGCCATCAGCTTGAAATACAGAGACTTCGTCATTGTTTACAGGCAGGACGTGATGGTTGATGCTGATGTACGTAGAGGCCAAGAGCTAATTTGATGTGACCGCTTGCGAAACTTGAGGAAACCTGGAAAGTGGAGCGAGCAGGGACCACATCTTATCACGAAAGTTCATGCATATGTCCAAGGCCTGAGGGTAGGTAAGAGACGCTGAGGTAGGGCATCGCCTCAGCTTTGTGACCTGTTTTCTAGCGGCGAGGAAGGCGCTAGAACATTGCTGAAGTGACCGACGTGTCCACCAGATAGCACAGGACGCGGTCGGATTTGGATTCAAATCTCTTTGAACGAATCAGACTGATTCAATGACACGAATAGGGTAGAGCTTGAAGCGACATGAGCTGTATCAGCTATCAGTAATAGTACTCCGAGTAGCTAGAAGAACGCACCAAGAATCAGATGACGGATGGTAAGAGAACGTTGAAGAGTCTTCGCACAAGTCGTAGCGAGCATACATCGTGGGAAGCCGCAGAATCGAGCGAGGGCACCAAATACGAACGAAGGATTCGCGGATCCGCGGATCGGCCGTGAAGGACAGGCGAGGGACATGCCGAATCGTTTGGACAGGGGTGCAACGAATTATACAATGGCGAATCCCATGAACTGTCACCGACAACAAGCGGAAAGGATCAAGCTTCAAGTTCGAGCTAATAATGAAAATCTTTACTTGCTCCAGAAGACGCAAATAGTCAAAATTGCCACGCGTACTCCGAATCCCAACAATCGTGATATAGCTTATAAACAAGCACATTACCATCTCAAAACTGCTGAGTACGATGATCCCCAAGTCGAGGATGTCCTTCTGTGCTTGATAGACATCGTAGGTGGCCGTTCTGTAACCCGGTATGACGGAGAAAGACACGAGTCGAACAGACGGGGTGTCAGATGGGCGAGGATGTGAGTGAATTGAGACGCTCGGGTGCTATGCGAATGACGTTGATGACTTGGGAAGGCTTTCGGTGTTGCCCCCTTTCACGTTCACTCGCATTTACATAACCGAAAGCAATGACTGGATATTCAAACGAGGAGAAGCAACAGATTTTGTAAGATAGCGGTTATCGTTCTACTCGCAGTAGGAGACCTAATCCTCGAGACTTTCCCGTGCTGTCTCGTGTTTACTGAATCCTACTAGACGATGTTAGTTCGTAAAGGGGTATCATACTGCGATGGTACTCACGGAATCTTCGGCTTCTAAATACAAGCAACAATTAACAGGACGTTTGCAAGCCCGTGCAAGAGTATTGTCAGAAATGTCGAATGAGCGAACGGAATGTATTCACCTAGGCCGCATCTTCTGCTCTAACCCAGTACCTCTTCCTAGCAGAGCTCCTTGATCGAGTCATCCAGGGCCTCTCTTCCGTTCTCAGACGAACACCCCGTATTCTCGCATTCACATCGTCTGATCGGTCACGTCGCACCAACCCGCCTAGTCTCCGCCCTCTCTTCATTTCGTCCCAATCGGGCCAGGTAGTATCATGAGCCATCCTCCCGTATGCGATCCTGCGGTATCCTGTGGCGAGGACTACGCTTAGGTTTCTTCATCTCGTTGGCGCATATACATCCAAGTTTCGGCAAGAGGACGGTGATACCTTCGCACGCATCAGATACCACTTAGAATGCAAAGGCGATGCAGGAAGACCACGGATGGGAAAATGTAGCAAGAGTTGGGAGCCCTCCAGAGGCGATGAGCGTAGTATTATTTAATAGTGAAGAGATCTAATTCGCATGCTCTTCATGTGCAGTGGCTGACTTAAAAGATGAATACGACGAGACCACGCATACTGGATGAGGGACGTATCATGGCAAACGATTCTCAACGACGTCTAGCTCTTCTACCCACAGCGCCGGCAACCACGAAGACCACGAAGATTTTTTATCGCGAAATTTGAAATGTCTGTATTGCGTATCTTCGACCTGCACGAAACGCCGTGAGAATACGGTCATCAATAAAGGGCAAAAAGAGAACGTACCTGAAGACGGGCCTTGGATTCTGCTTCTACGATGGTCTGAGAGATTAAAAAGCAGTCAAACCCTGGGTACGATTACAGACGATGATTTGGCTGATCCTCAAGGTTTGACATCGACCGGTTATGCGTATGGCCAAGGTCCTCATTCAAGGAGGTTCACCTTCCCATCGGGGGTACAGGAACGACACCACACCTCCGCTGAGCCGTGTGCTCTGCTGCTCACCGGGAGGGAGCAGTCGCATCGTGATCTTGCATCACGAGATCACCGGTAGCGAACAGCAAACAGCCACGTGGATATGACGCCAAATTTGGCAGGTCCGGGAAAATTGCCACTTGGCACTTACCATGACCCTCCGTCGCGTCGACTCGCTCTCTGGCGGCGAGGCGAGCATACTGCAAGACCGGGAGCATGTCAGGTTGAACCTGGCATGTGTTTTTCAGTGCCCATGAGGCGGCAGGACTGCGAAAATCGACGTGGGTGTCGATGGGGATTTTTGGTGCGTGTACATTTCTATTTTTTTCGTTCTACAACTTATGACTTCTTCCAGGACTTAGGCTGCATTGAAATGGATGTAGGTCTCTAATCTGCAGGCTATCTACCCCTCCGAACGCGAGTTCACCCTACGATTCGACCACTCTCATGCACCCCCACCGGCTTTTTATCACCTTCTCAACTTTGTCCAGGTCAATGAGCACCGCGGCGACCGTTCGTACGTCAGAAGGACGTCTCCCAGGCCGTGTACCAATCATTTCTGCCATCGCCGTCGTCGTCTTACGCCCGCCGCCTCCCACAAGCTCCAGATCACCCATGGTCAACCCACGACGACGGCTCCGATTTTCCTCGTACATTCCGCAGACTATGGACCACATTTCCATCATCCGAAAATTCAGTTTCTGCAGAAGCAAACTCTCCCGCTTTCGTCATCGTCATCGTCGTCGTCGTCATGCCGTCGTTGCTGCCGTCTCGCTATCCAAGGCTGCGATATCTCTAACAGCAACGACATTTCTGCTCGAGATTCAAGCCCCGTCGACTGCGTCACCCATTCCGTTACCACTAACATCTACTGAGGGGTACCTTTCCACAGCTGTCGTCGTCGGCGTGTTGCCGTCAGTCTTTCACTCACGGCGCTGCCTTCCATCGATCTCACTGCGACATCAGCCTCTCTAGAGCTTCAAGTGCGCCGACGACGACTGCAACAGGACCATAACTACCCTAAGCAACCGTGAGGACCGTGTATATGGTCTTCGCTATTGTTTTTCGGCCGTCGTCACCGTCGCAAGCCAGGTCAAGCCATCTGATCCGCCTGTACAAGAAAGGTTGATGTTCTCTGCTTCATCAAGCACGGCGACGACATCCTCTCCATCCGTAGAACAACCACCAGTACCACCGGCGACAGGTTTTACTGTCGCTGAGGACCATTTTCTGCTGTCGCCGTGTCTCAGGTGAATACGCCCATCGCAACGACATTTCTTAGGGTTAGGGTGGACCCTACGACTCTTCGGCGGGGCCCCCCCGGGAGGGAGGGGTGCCGAAGACGTCGTAGGGGACTTAACATATCGTTCCGACGTACAAAGGGCGGCGGTGCGGTGGTTTGGCTGTTGAAGGCGAGTACGGAGCTAGTAGGCTCAACGAGACGGGACCAATGGGCTGGGGAAATTCCCCAAGCCAACCCATTTCGTATAAATACTCATCAGGGTCCGTGCGCTCGAATTGCGCGATTATTGTGACTCGTGCTTCTTATTAGAAGTGGTCTGACAATAATCGTACGATATTAATCTTATATCGTCATCGGCGATGTCATTAGACCCGTCCAGACGGGCCTAGACCGGTTATGCGGTTAAATGCGTAATCGTGCTTACTCTCTTAAATAGCCGAACTACCGACCCGGCCCGTTGAGTCATACCATATGATTCACCTGATATCGGATCATTACGGTCCGATCAGTAGCCTGGGAAAACTCCGTGTCACGTGTTCCGGAGTCTAGACCATCCCCGGCCCGCCGGTCCACACGGTCCGGGTCCTCCCTGTAGGCGGTCCCGAAGGGCGGCCCAGGGCGTGGGTTAATTCCCGTAAACTACCCCCGTAGGGATAGACAACTCGGTCCGGTTGTTCCGGTTAGGGTTAGCCCCCCGACCTTCGCGGCGAAGCCGCGTTGGGAGGGGGGTGCGAGCCGAAGGCTCGCAAGAGTAGTAGGCAACAGCAAGCACTCACCGAGGCTTTGTTGCGTTGCTTGTAGAGCGTTGCAGGTCCAACAGGGGATGGGGATTAGCCAACCCGACCTGTTTCGCTTTTAAAGCTCTTCAGGGACCGTTAATCGCGCAAGCCAAGACTATGCGGGTCAATTGCTATTGGACCAGCAGCGCTCGCCAAGCGAATTGCAACAAATCACGCCATTATGGTGCGACATTAGTAATAGTAAAAGTGGGACCACTTTTATTTATTAGTAAGATTAAATGACTAATACTAACTGATGATCCGATTAGTCATACCATATGACTAATGTGCCGGATCGGGCCGAGAGATGCCGACCGGTGTTCGGACCGGAAGCCGAGGTCTCCCTTTCGGCCGAAGCGTACTAGGAGCGGGTCAATTCCCAATAAACGGTCCGCCCTCCAAGGAGGCTGCGTCATTTCGCTATTAAGCGGACCGATAACCAGGGTTCGGGCCGTAGGCCCGGTTAGCGTTCGGGTTAACTCGGTTAGAGTTAGCGTCTAGATAATTTAATCAGAACATTTAAGTTGCATTCGCAGCGTATTGCTACGCTATAACTTACTAGAGGGTTAGGGTTAGCCCGCCAGCTGGACACACCAGCCTATTTATCGTCGAAGAATGCGATAATTAATAAGTTACTAAGCGAGGAAGTCAGACGAGAATTTCCTGTATAATGTATAAATCGTGTACCAGGTAAGCTGTCGAAGACAGCGAAAGAGAAGTACTACCGAGAGCGTCTGGTTACAGCCGCTGCGTTTAGAGAACGAGTATTATCCTCGGGGCCTGCTGGCCCTTGTCGTATTAGCCCTCTACCGGCCGCAGACTCTCCGCGAATCTAGGGCGTAAGAAATAATGGTAGAGTTTTAGATCTAGCCACACTAAATTGGCACCGCTCGCCGCCGAAACGGGTCTTAGCGATAGCGTGCTTGCTATAACGAACTACTCTTAGCCTCCCGCCGCTCGCGACTTATGTCGATCTAAGCGAACCGGGTATCTTGGATTTATACATTTCAACGAGGATAGTTCGGGTCAATATCCTGTCCGATCTGTGGAGTCGATGCTAGCGACTGACTCCTCGGACGGAGGATTGATGATCCGAATCGAGTTCGGCCTCGTCGAGGTGGAGAGAGAACAATCTTTTTCCATAGACTGGTCATATCGAATAAGTTACGTGTCCGTTTTTTGGACACGATCATTCGTCGTTTAAGGATACCTATTTTTCTAATGTCGGGAATCTCTGCAGGGTCCAGCCGGGGATCTTACTTCCAAACAAAGTTCGGAAGGGATCTTGCCAGCCGGATACTGCCCGTAGAGGAACGGCACTATCTCGGGGAACTGTCCCCAGGCGTTCGATCGATGCGATACGAGTCCGCCAGGTATTCATGATTGTATCTCCTAATTCTCATGCAGAGAAGTAGTCCCATGCTGTATTATACTGTGACTTAAGTACTAGAACGCCGTTATCCTCCGTTTCCTTCGGTGTCACCCGAATTCGACTATTCCATCGTTCTGTAAAGTTCTCTCTAGTCCAGCGATATACTAATTCGCTAGGATAGCCCCGCGAGATGTACAAACCAATTAAGGTCTGAATTGCATCATTGTAGTGCTTGCGTACACTACTTAGCGTTGCTAAACGGGACATTTCTCCGATGAACGTTCCACGTTTTACCGTGATCGGATGAAATGAAACCCATGGGATTCTTTCTTGGTGGGAGCGGCTCTTTCGGTAAGGCATGTGCTGTATCGCGTTTTTGTCGTCGATGTAGAGCATCATGTCTAGGAATTCATGGTGGTGATTGCTCGCTTCCCATTCTATCGTGCAGCCGTCAAATTTAACCTTTGATATAATATTAAGCGCCGACGACTCTGAGTCGGCATAAACAATGGCTAAACAGTCGTCGATGTAGCGTCCATAGAACGCTATTGGGTCGCTTTATTATGGGGAGACTTTTCAACCCTAGACGTTAGGGTTGAGTTTTTTTCGCTCAATCCTACACCCCTGGAGGCCAACCCTGGACAGCGCTCTCGCCTTTCTTCACCAACCCTGGACACTTCTTTCTTGGCCTCTCGATAAGAACCCTAGACAATTCTCTCACCAACCCTACACACATTTTATCGCTCATGCATTATCCAGCCCTTGATGATTCTCTCACCTCCCCTCACCAACCCTAGATGTCATTTGGCCCATGCTTTATCCAACCCTAGATGATCTCTTTGCCTATCACTTGCCCTGCTATTGGCCCCTCCTCACCAGCTCTAGAGATAGTTTCACGCAATGCTTGTTGTCTCCACCTATCTGCAGCCTGCCTATTCACCTTGATCTCACTATGTCTGTTGGCTTTGAGCACTGGGTACTATTGACGTCTTCATGTCTGACTACTCTAGTTTGAAGTCCAATCAACTGACCAAGTTCTTTGCAAAGCCAGACTGCAATAATCGAGCAAATTGAACAGTCACTCTTTGACTTAACTGGAATCTGTACAGTTGAAGGCAAGTTCGAACAAATACCCATAGACTTGTTAACAAGCTGAAGGGGTGTTATTGAATGTAACCAGAATCCATAGAGCTGAAATCCATTCTACATGAGTTCAAATCATTATAGAATATCACTGGGAATATAAATTCATATTATTCAAATATCTGTAGACTTGTTAAGAAGCTGAACAGGTGTTAATTGACTTAACTGGATCCCTGAGACGTGAATTCTGTTGTAGGATTGTGCAGGGGGATTCCTTATGACTGAGGTATAGGCGACTGTTTTAGGAATGTAAGAGCGGCATACAGAAGGTGAAATCAAGTGAGAAAAAGGTCATGGAAAAAGCCTCCCTCCATCTGTCGCCTGGATTTCAGGCGACACTTGCACAGAGACTTCACAGAAGCACACAGTGGGATTGCTAATGACTGAGATGTAGGCAACAATGATAGGAGTAAGAATAACCTATATAAAAAGAATGGAGCAAAGACAGCCCAGACTAGCATATGCAAATATCCTTGTGGCATGAACATGCTAACTGCAAGGATACTCGTGTGAGGGAAGGAGAATGTGTGGTGCATGCACGAAAGAGGCATGTTGGTTTTGCCCTGAAGCATGAGGCTCGCGGAGTAAGATACCGGAGATTAGCCAGAATTCTGTTTGCAGGTACCACCGGAGGTCATTAAGATGAGACGTTGCTAAGCAGAACAAGAGAGAATCCGGTGGTGGAGGAAGAGAAGAAGACAAAAGAAGGAAGTGTCTCATGAGCCAGGCACCCTCAGGGGTGGTTTAGTTGCTGGAAAGGATATGAAAAAGAGGGTTCAGAGGAAACGATACGCCAAAAGGGAGTCGAACCCCTACCGCTTGCTCAGCAGTCATAAAGTACTATGGAAGGCAAGCATGATAACTGTTTCAGCATCGGCGTAGGTGCTAACGACTTTGCACAACACCTCCCATGCGTCCCTGAAGTGGTGTCCTTCCATTTCAGCATCATCCCACAATCGATCGCTCATAATGGAAGCAAGATCTGTTTGAACGGCTGGATTACATCATGCCGGAGATGAGCCCCAAAAGCCTATTTTAGCGTTTCAGGTTTTCTCTTTTATACTACGACGATGATGTAGGATGACTAGAGATGCTGCCCTCCATTCGAGAGCTGCATCCGTATCTCCCATCCTCTTCTACTGGTGATGGTGAAGGTGAGGGAGGTAAGAGTGGAGGTGACGAGCTGAAGAAGAAGAAGAGGCGGAGACAGGCGCTGAGCTGCACAGGTGCGTGTGTATATTGAGATAGTACTCTGATTCTAATACTGATTTTGCGATGGTTAGAGTGTAAACGCCGCAAGATCAGATGTGATAGGAACCAGCCGTGTGTGCCATGCATCAGGCGGGGCGAACAGAGCAAATGTCTCTGGAACGTCGTCGAGCCGGCTGAAAAGTACGTGACTCAGGCCGAGTATGATGAGCTCAAAGTGTGGGTAGAGCATCTCGAGGCTCTCGTCGAGCGGCTTACTCAATCCCAATCCCAGACTCAGCCCCAGCCTGGGCCACCGCCATTCATCACCCTGCCTCCACAGCCAAAAAACTGGGCAGCGCTGACGTTCCTGGTCCTGGGCGGATGTCAGCGCTGTTCTCCCCGCCTCCACCGCAACCGCAGCCGCCTCGGAGGTATACTGGCCCCGGATCCCCTTTTAATCCTCCATATCAGTCCCTGTACTCCCCATATTCGCCTTACCCATATTCCCGCTCTTCCCCGACATACTCGTCTTATGCTCAGTCGTCAATCCCGTCTACCTCCACATCAGGGTTACCCTCTTCATCCGCTGTACCTTCCTTGTCTACTACCTCTTCTTATCCACCGCTGAACCCACCGTCCCCATCGACCCCTCGGCACTATAGTGATCCAGAGAGGAGGTAACCATCTTTAGCACATAATTGCATGCCCTGTTTCATATCATAAGCCCTGTCCATGTATACTTATCTACCTACCCTGTACATCGTAATACTGTACTCAAGTTGTAGTATATACATACTGTAGTTTACCCGAATGTCAGCAACATCAGCCCATCATTCCCGTTCAACACCCTTTTACCGTTGGCATACTGAAATATCAATCTGTATCATACATCCTGGAGATACCATAGGAATAGCAAGAGCGAGAAGCAAGGGAATTTGAGGAAAGACACGGGAAGTGAAGATGGGAGTAGAAATGAAAGAGGACGTGTCTTGTTCACGTGGTTTCCACGTGGATGGCTCGGTCCGTTGTCGGCACGCCTTCTCCTTCGACCGACACTTCGTGTCCCCTCCTTTTCTACCCCATGTTCATCAGGATTTTCGGTGCTGATCTGGAGCATGGAAATTACTTCCCACAATCTGAGGACTGTCCTGTATCCATCCATGGTACCAGATCCAGCCTCAGTCGACTCCTTCATCTCAGCGCTTTGAGTACAAGATGATGTCGGCGGGCCGTCGAGTGCCATGGACCGTTTGGCCTCTTGACAAGAACCCTAGACAATTCTCTCACCAACCCTACACACATTTTATCGCCCATGCACTATCCAGCCCTTGATGTTTCACTCGCCTCTCCCTACCAACCCCACACATTGTTTCACCGATGCTTCAGCCACTTTGATTGGCCTTCCATAAGCCAGTCTTTTGAATGGCATGAATTTGCATAGCTAGTGATATTCTATAATTGTTTGAACTCACATAGAATGGAATTCAGCTCTGCAAATTCTAGTTAAGTAGATTAAGAACGATTCAGCTTCAGAAGAAGTCTACGGACATTTGAATGACATGGATTTGTGTTCAATCATGAATTTCCTTTGTCAATGATATTTGACAATAATTTGAACTCATGTAGACCAGAATCCGACTCTGGACAATGTCATTAAGTGGAATAATGAATGTTTTAGTCGGTAACAGTAATATTAGTCTTGTTAGTGATTCATGATGAATATCAGTCTTTATATATGTGAATAGGGCCATATTTCACATAGAACAAGGATTGACAATAATTCAATAGGCATGAATGGGGATTCCCAAGCGTCAGGAACTGTTTGAAGGCGGTGTGTATGTTTTGCCTGAAATGCAAGCAACAGAAGGAGGGGGTCCTTTTCAGTTGCCTTTCCCATTCCTGCTAATGTTCTGTAGGCCACTCTTACACTTCTGCAATAGTGGCCTATGCCTCAGAGGCAAAGAATCCCCTGCACAACTCCGTGAAGCCCATCTGCAGGTCTTGCCCGAATTGTGGGCGACAGTGGGAGGGCGTGTTTTTCACTGGCCTTCCCCACTTGTATTCATGTCCCTTTGGCCTGTCTTACAGATCTGTAGCAGTGGCCCACACCTTAGACCTAAGGAATCCCTCCACACAATTGTCTGAAGGCAGTGTGCAGGTGTCGCCCAAAATGTGGGCGAGAGAGAGTGGGGGACTTTTTCAGATGGTTTTACTGGCCTACCCCATTTGTATTTGTGCTCTGTATGCCAGTCTTACACTGCTGTGGCAGTTCCCTACTCTTCAGACTGAATGAATCCCCCGCAAAACTCTGTGAAGTCGATGTACAAGCTTCCCCCTAAAATGCGGGAGACAGAGGGAGAGGGTCTTTTTGAGTGGCCTTTCCCACCTCCATATGTAAAACAGTAGGAAACAGTAGCAGACATAAATATGACTAGGCTCATCAATAAATAAGAGCAGAAGGAGAAGAAAACATGTACATAAAATCATCATCAAAATATCCAATTGCCTCCCGCATGCCTAGGCAATGTCCGATTAAAAAGCGGACAGCGGATTTGAATTCCTAGACCTTGAAAACACTAGGACACACTGTAAAACTAAGTCTTGCCATTCAAATGAGTTTTAGAAAGAGAAAGTGAGCTTTAACAGAAAATCAATAAAATCTCCGAACGCTTCCCACGGGCCCCGGTGACCTCGGATCACAAATCAGACAGCAGATTCGAATCCCCTGACCCCTAAAACACTAGGACAACCATTCTACATCACTAAACCAAAGCAGATAGAGCTGGGACAAGAGCATCTGCAGATATAGCCTCTTGGAGCAAGTCATCGTATCTGGTGGCCCATAGATGCCGCTATTCATTCTGGATCATGTGGCTGTGTTGGACCAAGACCAACAGATCATATGACTTGAGTCATCGCCCTCAGACAATTGTGTGGGAGGATTCCTTAGGTCTAAGGAGTAGGCCTCTACTATACATCTGTAAGACAGGCGAGAGGGAGGTGAATATGAGTGGAGAAGGCAAGTGAAAAAGACTCCCTCCATCTGTTGCCTGGATTTTGGGCGACACTTGCACACCACCTTCAGACAATTGCATGGAGGGATTGATTAGGTCTAAGGAGTAGGCCACCACTACAGATCTGTAAGACAGGTGAGAGAGAGGTGAATATGTGTGGGGAAGGTGAGTGAAAAGACTGCCTTCCACTGTCGCCCACAATTCGAGCGACGCCTGCAGACCGGCTTCACAGAGTTGTGCATGGGGGATTCCTTATCTCTCAGAGGTATGCCATGGTTACAGAAACGTAAGACTGGCCTACATAAGGCGAATGCGAGTGGGAAAGGCCACTGAAAAGGACCCCCTCCCTCTGTCGCCCACATTTTGGGCGAAACTCATACACCACTTTCACACAGTTCCTGAAGCTTAGGAATCACCATTCTTGTTTATAGAACTCTTGTGAAACCTTGTCCAATATGAAATGTTGCCTTCTTCACATATATTCATTGTATCCCTAATTATTGAACCACTGCAAAGTTGCTCCGCACCCGATCCATACTGCACCTATATGAGACCGAAAGATTTTTCACGATTTCATATAGAATGAGGTTCTACAAGAGTTGAATAAGCATGTATATGAATTTATAAGGCTCACCAAGTGTGTGAAGGTGATGTGCATCTTCTGCCCAGTTTATATTCCTCATGTGATGCCTGTTTAACCAAAACTAGATATTGAACAAAGCTTTGGAGACAAGTACAAACAAGTACAAAGACCAATAGTATAAGTTAACTGCCTCTGTCTCCCAATTTCTTTCCCACATTTCTCTCACAATATGTCCCAGTGGATGAACGGTATTCCACCTGAGCATGTCTACAGTCTTCCTGAATACGTTGATCTTCTGCAAAGTTTATACCTTTCTGGAGTGGGAGCTCGACAACCGGTTCCTCTTGTGGAAGAGTTGGATGAATCTGGTTGCATGAATCTTTTCACTGAGGTTGCAATCAAGGGCACCCAGAAAGAAGAGACGTTGGGGATCAATTTAATGACAGGTTCACATGCAGGTCGCCTCCAAACGTGTGATCTCTATAAGGACTTTGACTCCCTCCTTGGCATCTACACTCATACACCTTATTTTGGCGAAGCCAGACTTCCAGCCATTTCCCGTGATTTTATCTCAAATCTATCAAAAGAGGTTCATTTTCGCTATGATTTTCAAGTAAATCTTTTCATTTCTTTCTAATTTCATTATATGCTCATATCCGTGATAGACACCTGAAGATGTTTGCACAAAACCACATCTCATCCCTAATAGCTGTATTCTTGAGTTTGGAACCAACTCAAAAATATGCATTATGTTCCCACAAGCCTACTATCGTGGCAGGGGAAACTCACTGCTGACAGATGAAGAATGTGCCCACCTTTATGCGGCTGTCACTGTTGCTCATCGCTATGCAGACCCTCTTAGCAGTCATGAACGGCCTAGCAATTGGGAGTCTGCTTTACACCGAGCGAATCCATCACGTCACTCTAAAAAAGGCGCTCATGTTCACCGCTTAAATCTTCCTGAGCATGCCACGGGTCCATTCCTAGACAAGCTTCTAGACCATCTCAATGGGCCTGATGGCGAACCATGGGCAAAGAATGCTCTGTACTACATTGAACGCAGGGGCCTGAAGGAATTGAATAGGCATCGTGTCAATGACTTGTCATTCCTCGAATCCTCTGAACAATGTCTGGAACAGTTCATGGGAGACATTATTCCTCCGGATGCTGCACTTGGCGACATTCTCTACATTGACACCGCTTTGGAAATAGGCCAACATGGTGCAGCTGTTCTCCCAAGAACATCTCAGCATGCCACCTTCATCACCCGTGCTCTTGATATTCCTCAGGAACAGTCGAGTGTTCTGGCTACACATGACTTCAAGGGATACCAGAGACAGCCATTTGCCCTTTTAGGAGAGGCTTCAGGCTGTCGCATAAGCTATCATCATGGTGCAGGGAATCACCAGGCAGTCTTCATACAAGTCTATACCTCAGACAAGGCTCTGGTCGCACATGCATCTTCTGTCAAGAACGCCATTTATCTTAAGCCATCACATGTCTTCTTCAGGAAGGCCAATCGCTCTGACGGTTCAGTGCCAGAGTTTATACAAACATCTTGTGATGTCCTTGCTTCAGCTGCGGAAGACATGGATATAGTCACAAGAATTGAAGCTAGGGTTCCATACGCAGCAGCACATGCAGTTTTCCAGAATATTACTGGAGGCGCAGTTCACCAGTTGTTAACACTGCATGATCGCAAAGTTGTTTGGTAAGCATTCAGTTTTCAGGGAAAGGCAAACAGAAACTTATTTCCCGCCTTTTCTTTCCCTTTTATGCTGCATATAGGGGTTACAAATTTTACCGTGCTAAGGCATACGGTCAAGTCCTTGCCTTGCAAACAACCAGGGGCCAGGAGAAAATGTGGAGCAAGTTAGAAGCAGCAGGTGCAACACTCTATGTCATCTGGTGCTTCAATGCGACATTGGCATTTGATCAACCATGGGGAGCAGATGAAGATTTAGTGCTCTGCTGCGCTGAGGTTCATAAGGATCCAGACATTGGCTCGTACCCTCTGCTGAAGCCGCGCACTGATGACAATGGTCAGATAAAGGCCCCTGTTATCTGGGATGGAGCTGTGTGGATACGGAATATTGCTCTACCCCCTGATACATCGTGTCCTCGCTTTCAAAAGGGAACGTGGACTGTTCTCAAGCATGAAACATGGAAATATTTCCTGGATGGCCACTCCTTAAACGAGCTAGTGTCTGCTAGACAGCCAAATACTCGTCAGCCACATCCGAATTACATTCCAGGACGCAAAGGGCCAACACACCCTGCAGCTACATCTGCCATTCCTGAAGGACGCATTGCAATTCTGGAATACCCAGTGAACAATCAGCCGTATGATATTGGAGAAGACCTATCCTTATCAGAGATTGATGAACCTGAGGAGGAGAGCACCAGCATGCCAGATACATTGGCGAAAATTATTAATGACACTATCTGTGGTGTCATGCAATCGATTGGAAGCCGGCGAAACCAGGGCGCTGCATATTGTAAGGTGGCACAAGACAATCGTAGCCTGTTCACCACAGACACATTCCATGATCTCAACCTTGGTGCCTACTTTGATGCTGTCTGGGTGGATCCTCGTCCAGCAGCTTGGATACAGACTATCAAGCTGACCTTTCCTCATGCTGACATCAAATTATCCAAAGCAGCGCAGGGATATCGCACCAATCAAGGCTGGGTAGCTTTTGGAAACTACAGAGATCGCATTACTGATGCAGAGAGTGCAAAGACTGTGGTTAATCAAGTCCAGAAAGAGATGAGAGACTGGATATGGTTCCCCTACACTCAGAAAGAACGTCAGGTGGATTACAAAAAAGGATCAAACTCCTGTGTATATTGGCCAGTTTCAAACAGGCAACTCAACAGTGATCAACGCGCTATTAGGATAGCAGTAAATCCTAAATACGTGAAGAAGCTCCGTTTCGATAATGCGACAAGTCCAGTTCTGGGCATTCGAACCAATACTTTACATCCTGCAAGCCCACCTTCGGATAGAGATGAGGTGGAGGAGAATGAAGAAAATGAGGGTGAAGAGAATGAGGGTGATGAAGCATACAATGATGATGATGATGACGAGGAGGAGGAGGAGGAGGAGGAGGAGGAGTAGGAGGAATATGCCAGATAGTGAAAGATATAAAATATGATACGTTCTGTCTTTAAACTGATACAAAAATGTTACAGTGCGAAGAATGCGATATGTTTCTTGCAGGGCGGGTTAAGCTAATTGCCACCATCTGTCGCCTGCATTTTGGGTGACACCTGCACATCTCCCTCACACAGTTCTTCAGGGAGATTCCTTAGCTCTGGGGTAGGCAACTGTCACAGGAGTGTAAGACTGGCCTACAGAAGGCTGACATGAGTAGGGAATGTAACTGAAAAGACTCCCTCCATCTATCGCCCACATTTTGGGCGGAACTTACACATTGTCTTCGGACAGTTGCAGAAGCTAGGAGATGTCCATACATGCTTCTTCAACTCTTGGGGAACCTTGTTCTATGTGGAATATTGCCTTCTTCACATATACAATGACTCACATCCATCGTGAATCATGAACAAGGCTCACGTGACTGTTATCTAAAGCAAAACATCGATTATTCCACTTAATGAGATTGTGCAGAGTCAGATTCCGGTGTATGCGTGTTTGAACAGTTGTAGAGTGCCATCGGCTATGTAATTTCATGATTGAACACAAATTCACCTGATTCAAATATCCGTATACTTGTTAACAAGTGAAATATACGTTATTTCAACTTATTCAAGTTAATGAAATCCCCTCTAGGGTTGCGGATGAGGATTCCCTCAGTCAGAGGGGTGGGCAACCACTATAGAAATGTAATACTGGTCTATGGAAGGCTAATGCAAGCTGAAAAGACCAATAAAAAAGACATCCCCCATCTATCGCCCGCATTTCGGGCGAAGCCTGCACATCGACTTCACAGAGTGCTCCAGGGGGATTTCATAGGTCTGAATGGTAGGCGAGTGCGTACTTGAATAGTTGTATAATATTATTCACAATGTATACTCATCATTGGACACAAATTCATGCAATTAAAAAGTTTGTAGAATTCTGTTGCCTGTCATATAATCAGATTTCAATATCAGGGATATTCACTGATGTTCGATGACTTCCAAAGACTGCCAACTTATAAACAATGTAGATTAAGAATTCAACCATGAATTCATCCTATTGAAGTGTATGTAGAAGTGTTTGGCTTGTCGTATACTCTCAGTTATGCGCTAACTACATATATGTGTGGGCCGATGCCAGAGGCATAATACTGGCCTATGGGAGGTGAATGCGAGCATGGAAGGGGGATATACCTTTTGAAAAAGACCCCTCCCTCCCTCTGGTCGCCTGTATTTCGGGCGAAACTAGCAGACTGCCTTCACAACCATTCACACTGTTGCACAGGGGGATTCCTAAGGTCTGAGGCATAGGACACTGCTACAAATGTGTAAGACTGGCCTATGAGGGGTGAATTTGAATGTCGAAGGGGAATACAGCCTCCTGAAATGAGGCCCTGGCCCCCATCACCTGTATCACAGGTGGAATGCATGCATCGCCTCCACATAGTTGCATAGGTGAATTTCAGAGGCCTGGGGAGTTGGCTACTGCTACAGACATATGATACAAGCCCTTAGGAAGGAGATTCATTGGAGGAAGGCCAGTGGAAAAGACCCCCATCCATCTGTCGCCCACATTTTGGGCGGAACTTGCACAATTAGTGTACCAGTGTGAAACAAACAAATATATGATCATTTTGTAGCATTTTCCCTTCAAGGAACTGTTACAAGGAAGGTAGAATGTAAGTTTAGTAAATATTATGAGCTACACGACACATGTATTTGCATGGAAACGAAGAAGGCATTGAAATACTCATTCCACCTAACGTTTTTTCGGTGCCATATTGCCGGAAGATGGCGCAGACGATTTCGTCTTTGGCTTGTGTTCCTTGGGTAGGACTACAGCCAAAGCGCCTTGTGGAGGAACATATGTGGAACGTGTGGAGGATGACCCGGATGAAGAAGAAGGGCCGGCCGTTGCAGGCTTATCGTTGGAGCTGTGCAAGTCCCTACCACTCATTTGTTTCGAAAGCATCCATAGCTTCTTCTCTTGCTACAAGTCATGTTTTAGATCAAAGTAGAAGACATCTGAAATCTATGCAACATACCAGTTTCTGCAAGGAATTAAATCTTTTAGTTTGCTTTTCTTCTTGACCCTCCTCCTGGTTGCTCATACGACGCTTGTGAGTAACAGCACCGCTAAGAGTTGGAGCAGCTACCGCATTCTCTCGTTTACGCCTAAGTCTCTCCTGGATCTCCTGGAGCGAAAGCGTAGGCCGCACGGCAGTACTTGCTGCTTCTGGTAAGTTCAACTCTACCATCCTCTGGTCCTTGCTGCCCTCATCTTCCAATCCAAGCACCCCTGCAACCCTCTGAATTCTAGTAGTGAACTCTGGGTTTGTTAAACCTGGCATGGAATGGCTGGATATATCGTCATCAAAGAGATCAAGTGCGTTACCCATACGGCCATTGTCTAAGAAAGAAACATCCTCCCCGTGGCTGAAAGGCGACCCATGGTCATTAACCGCTGGCCCCGCAGTTTCTTTGCACTCCTTGGGTGCCAATGCTGGATGGAGGTGCTCCTCAACTTCTTGGGAAGACGATTGGGGAAAATCATCAGCGCTCTGGATGGGGCTCTTGCGATGATGAGCAGGGGGGTCGTCGTCAGATACTTCTATATCATCTACCCAATCTAAATATACACAGCATTAATAGAGCCATAAGGCACAGAAATTGCATGTGAGCTCACCTTCTGAACGTGATATGTCCTTGCCTTTGACCAATGTACTGACTGCATCCATCGTCCTCTGGTTTCCAGGAACCTGGCTGGGATCAGACAGCGTAGTTGCCCTCTCCTTCCTCTGATTATGGGGTCCTTCACCCACTGTGGCAGGCACGAAGTTCACCCCATGTGCTTCACTCCTCTTCTCCCCTAGTTCGCCATCGTCACCAATGACATGCTGCTGAGTATCAGCGCTGGTAGATGACGATGTGTTGGCCCTTTTCTTTTTCTTCTTCCTCTCAATACCATCACCGTCGATGAACGCGTCATCCACTTTAACGGACAACGTACTTTGCCTCTTCCTGACCCTCTTCAAATTGTGCTCCTCCACATCGTGTGATTTCACCATCGTAGAGTCCACTTCCACCATCTTCACCTTCCCTCCCTTCTTCTGCCTATTCACGCCTACCAACTGGACCTCATTAGGAGATAGCTGGTCCCCAGTCGGTGCAGATGCTCCACCGAGAGACTCTTCAGGCGTTATTTTGGCTTTGGCTTTGGCTTTGCCGTTACTACCCCCATGAGAGATGCTAGAAGACGCCATCTCCTCAAAGGCCCCAACATCTATCACATCTGCGGCAGAGGAAATATCGTCGAGCGGTGTTATGAGTTCCCCGTTGTGGTCCAGAGGTTCGTCCTCGATCTCTTCATTGCAGCCATTGACATTAAATATTATATTGTACAAATCTAGCATATGTTAGAAAACTGTTTTTTAACGGTAGAATAGTTTACTAACCTTTGCAATGGTCCTTCTTGAAGAACTGTGAAAGTAGATCACCCTTGACATCAGCACCTGCTCCCATCAGTTGGTCGGAGGTGTCCAGACAGGTGAATTCGTAAACGATGACTTCACCCTCCTGACCGTTGCGTAGGACACGGCCTACTGTCTGTGTTTTCTGCTGTTTCGACCAAAATTGATCCTTGAAGATGGAATGATAAGTTGACTTCGCTAGCCTGAATGAAACAAAGACATACGGCAAGGAAGACCCATCGCGCAAATGCAATATTAAGTCCTGCACAGCCAACCTGTGTGATGAGGAGAACAGCGGGGCCTTGATGGTTCTTGAATTCCTTCAGACAATCTGCTCGCTCTTTACCACTCATCTCTCCATTGAGTGCCCATGTCTTCACTCCATGAATTTCGAATGCCTGAGAAAAGATGATGAGATGGGAAACGGATCAAAGATAACACTGCTCACCGATTTAAACAGCGCTGTCTGCGATGCAAAGGCATGATATACAAGTGACTTCTCATGCAGCCATTCGGTAGAAGGACGAATATCTGCCTTCATGGAATCCAGGTCGACACTTTTATCCAGGTTCTGAGGTGGTTCCTTGTGATCAGCGCTAGATAGTTTCCAGAGAAGGGTGGTAACCAGGACGTCAATCTTTGTCCCCTTATGCTTCTCCCAATCCTCCACCCTTCTGAATTCTGTGCAACGACCTTGAATCTTGCTCTTCTTCTTCGACTTCTTCCGGGGACTCTTGTTGTCCAAAAATGCGGCGGCTTTAGGATCGTTGAGACCCATTCTCTGGTTCAGGTGGAACATCTAGGGAAACGTTAGCACTGATGCTTTCATAGTAGCGCACTAGCGTACGGTTGTCTGTTTCTGTTTGCATCCCTTTCTAAGAACAAGAAATAGTTGTCAAATTCTATACAACACATCAAAGAATTAGATGAATGTACGCACTCATTATAAACTTCTAGCTCTTCCTGAATATGTTGCAGCTCAGCTGGAGGGAGGCGAATGAGGATCACGTATTCCGCCGCTGGAGACAAAGTCTCGAGAACCGGTTTCCCATAGCAGTCCACAGACTGGTGTCCTCGTCGTATGATATGGGGAAGGAAGGCACTTTGCATGAACTGAGCAAAATGCCTGTTCGTCTTCTGATACTCTTGTATCTCCGGATCCTCGGGATTGGAGACATAGAGCGCAGCAGGATTCTCACCATGCTTTGTAGCAATGGCCTTCAAGCTCTGCGTCTGCTTATGTAGAGCCTTCACCTTCTCATCGATGTCAGAGGTAAGAAACGGCGCCAACCCAAGTGCTCGACCCAAGTAAAGAAGGTCCTGCGTAGAGAGGTGTTATAGTCAGTTAATGTGCATCTAAGAATGCATCAAGAAACATACCATAGGGCCTTCTTGAAGAGGTGTTGCCGTCGCGCCTATTTTCATGTGAGTGTTGCCAAACAGAGAAATCAATGCCCAATATGCGGCCCCGCCTGTGCGAAATGCGGTGTGGATTTCATCTACGAATGCGCCATTCCAGCTGTGCTCAAAGACACAGCCTTTGCTTTGTGGTTCTGTGATGTATGGGAAGCGAGGGACCTTGCGCGTAAGAGGATTCAGCTGTCGCATATCCAGTGCCATCCTCCCTTGACGACTAAGTGTCTGTGTATTCATGTGTTAGTATCAAAATATGAAATATACGAAGATTTGTAAGACTCACCACATCGGATATAAAGACGATGCGCCTTATGGGAGGAACGGGACTCTTATCAAAAACCTCTTGCCACCAATGCGACCAGTCGGTAGCTTTTGTGGGAAAAACAAGCATATCAAATGCACCCCTTTGCGTGCAAAGCTTTACCTGTAGTAACCACTGAGAAATTAGCCCAGTAGGTAGAACGATGATCCATGGAAGATTGGGAATTATTTCATCGCCAATGTGGCCACAAAATAACTGGCGTTCGGCTGTGATACAGATTAGTGTCATGTGTAAATAGGATGAAAGAAAACAAAAGACGTGCCAAAAATTGGTGGATGATGAATGTCATCACTCCTCATGTCCGCCTCCTGCCTCGTAAATTCTTCTGCTACCATACAGATCACAGCCAAGCACATAAATGTTTTGCCTAGGCCGGTATTGTCTGCGACCAACATCCCAGCGTACTCTCCAGTTTCACAGCCATTACCATCTTCTTTGAAGAAGTGACAGAGCAGTGCGCATAGCCCCGTCTTCTGATGCCAGAGGAGCTGTCTCTCCTCGTTCTTGCCTTCCTCAAAGGTCAAGACATTGATGTCGGATGCACCGGAAGCATGATGGTCGCGCTCGAGAAGGTCCCGGTAGGGTGTAAACAACAGGGGTAGAGATGATCCCAGGAGTTTGTCGAGAGCGTCGTGAGTATGGTGAGTAAAGTTCTCGGTGCCTAGGTCACCTGAACTCTCCCATGCAGCCTGTAGAGGAATCTCGGTGAGTGTAGGAACATCCTGTGCGGCTTCATAATCGTCAATCCATTGGCGTAACTTGCCAAGAATTTTTTCTGCGTCCTCCACCTGAGCATGGATTTTCGAGGCCAGTTTCTTTCCTAGGGAACGTCCCATGAGTCCTAAGAATAATCATAATTAGTAAAAATCTTACAGTGAACAGTGAAAGAAGGCTTACGTGCAGGTGTAATCTGGCTATCGTTTTTCTCTTCCTCAGCACGAGACGCCGTATTTTTCTTGAAGCGGATGACGGTTCTCACCGACACCGATTTAATCTCAGCAATAGTCCCCTCCAATAGTCCTAACGCCTTCATAATCTTCTCGCTGTCAACTTCGTCTTCTCCCCAGTCCAGGTAGGAGTTGTATTGCTTTAAGGCACCCTGCAGACGCTTCAAAGTCTTCAGACCCTTCTTCTTTAGCTTCTCCTGAGATGCCGTTTCGAACTCTAAAGCAAGTAGTCAGAAAATGAATATATAAAGTGAGATGACGTTTAAGCACACCTTGTAGCAGTTTTTGGATATTATTTACTCCACCACGTCTATTACGTCGGGCGTAAAGGAATTGCTTTGCTTGCGCCTTGACATAGGCTTGCATGAACGCCTTGAAAAAAATGGCTATATCCCTAGGTAAAAAGCCGAATACCAAAGCACCAGAACCGAAGACGGCAACGGCCAGATCTTTGTGAAAGTTCTCGTAGAAGGAGTGGTGGACAAAGATGTAAGGATCTGAGCCTCGCACAGGGTAATGTGCAACAGACGCAAGTTCAGCGTTGGAGAGGATTTCTTTAGTAGTGAGGTGTTCATGGGTAAGATAAGTATGAACGGCATGCATGACCTTTTTCTGCGCTTTTCCTGCGACCTTTTTAGCAGTGAGATCCATCATTGGCTTGTGGTCCTTGCTCTTCGAGTAGTGCCAGACGCTGATTTCGGATAAGGGAAGGCTAGTCAGGAAGTCGCAGTAAGAGAGGTAGGCGTTAAAATCGTCATGACCGATGAAGTCGTCAACTTTCTTCCTATCGGCAGGCAAGAGATCGTGTTTCGGTACGGGAATGTCATAATCAGGGCCACCTGCTCGTCGAAAGGCAGCGTCATGATTGACAATAATCGCAAAGAGATGGTTGGTCATGCGTAAAGTGGGGATCTTCTCCTTCGTACCAGACGAAGATGAAGTTTTATCGGCAGACATCTATTGGGAGAATGAGGACAGAAGGAGAAGGGATGAAATCGGGATGGACTTACAGTCAGAAAGTTGGTGAGCAAGGACACGATATGGCAATGATAGGAGAATGACGGATAAGCTCAATTAGAGATATTGACAGAAATTGTGGGTGGGAGAATGTACAGCTGGACTTCAACCTGGTTTATAAAGCCGCAACAAGAAGAAGGAAAAGACGGCCTAAATAATAGTTTGTATTATTTTTTGTAGATACCGGGAGAACAATGGACATATATTATGCCACTAAACTGTTCCGCCAACTATGGAATGAAGTTCTTGCACTACTATGACCGTCTATAGACTTTCCGCAGTCGAAATAAAGGTCTGGACTAGCAGAGACTAAGCGTTTTGCGCCACTAAACTGTTCTAAAGAGCACGGCTTAGGATTATCCCATTACTATGACTATCTTTAGGTGCTCAGAATACTAGAATAACGTTCCAGAGCAGTCGCATGCATGGACAAATATGAAATACCTTTTTTTTCTTCTTTCTTGGAGTTGTCTAGAGTGCATTTGTAACACTCCTGCAACGCCACTACCATGATCCACAAATTAATGCAAAGGTAGCTGTGCTACTATGACTACTGTACTATTACGACCGTAAGTTCACCCGGCGTTAGGTGTTAGGACGGTAGTTCATCGGAATGTCAGTTCACTTTCCTTTTTGGACATGTGAAATAAGTTCAGTTCAAGGGGATCTGTTAGGCGTTAGGCGAACTTCCGGTTGTAGTAGTACATTATTTCAAGACATTAGAAGTAAAGATCATGTACATGTATATCAAACGTACAACGCATGTTCCTAATGCTTCTTTACTTGGCGATGCCTCTTCTTTTCAACCCTTTCATATGTGGCACCCATACTTTCAGAAGTACAAATTGATTAAACATCCAAGAATATACACTATAAACAGATGACACCACTAACAGGTATGGCATCGGCAAATGGTTCCAGAACGATGCATCCAAACCCCCAAACCTTTCTTACTGCTTTCGGTCCCTCTGATATGCCAGGAACAGAAATGGCCGATGATGCTAAGTAACCAAACCATGGGAACACAAAACTGGCTCGCTCTCTGCGGAAGGACTGATTGGTGCTCAATATAATCAATCAGAAACTCACGCACCTTTAACCCAAGCAAGAATTGCGGCGGCCCGTGGATGCCGCTGTTCATCCTGGATCATGTGGCTGTGTTGAACCAAGATCAACAGATCATGTGACTTGAGCGGCATCTTTCAGGAACGAGTGAAACTTCACCGATACTCATACAGCCGTGTATACTTTTTGCACCCAAGTACCATGATCATAAGCGAGGAGACTCAAAGTGCTTGTGTCTTTTGTGAGGCAATCCATTTTGTAAACCATGTGTTGGCAATATTGCAGTGGGAGGCTTGCAGTAAGAATAATACTTGATCGTTAGTTACTAGAGCTCTGAATGAGCTTCTTATATACTACATGAAAGTATTCTAGCATGTTCTACTTTACTAAGCTTTTGTCCTTCGAGTACTTTCTCCATCTTTCTATGCATGAGTTACAAAACTGGATGGTTATTCCGGATCTTGCCGGAATGCTGGGAGGCGACTGGCTTGTCACTGTGTCACGACCTGGGGGTCAGTCACATCACACTCGGAATTGCATTCTCCAATGCCATGGCTGTGAACAAATTGTTAATGCAGAAGTACGTGACATCAAGCTGCTCTCCATGGCATTTCTTGGTGCGAGTACAGTATGTGCACTTTGGTGAGATTGATTTGCATGTCCTTCGTGCTGTTTGTGATATCGGGCAAGGGGATGAGATCTTTGTGAATTATGGTTCAGATTAGTTCGACAAGAGTGAAATATACTTCTGTATCGGGTGCTCTCCACATGAGGATCCAACCGTGTAAGCCCAAAAAGTCAATTTTAAAGAGGCAAAAAACCGCTGAGGCAAAGGTGAACTAGAGACGGAAGCAACGGATGAATAAGGTGCAGGGTAACACTTAGAACCATTAGTTTATTTTGGGCATGTAATATACAAAAATTTTACTTGTATTGCTCCTTTTTTACCTGTCATGTATTCGCCCGATTTTGTGTGACATCTTTACTTGTATGAGAAAAGTGAAACCTAACCTGTCGAGCACGATCTTTAAAAATATATCGATAACACTCTGGGAGACACTGACTCTTAACCTTTACCGTACGTGGCATGCGCTCTTGGCTGTATGGCTGGTTCATATCCACTTACCAGATTGGGAATAATATCTGTCTCCGTATTGTTCAATATCATGTTGAAGTATACTACAACGATTCGAGGCGCATTGTGTTTGTAGTTACAGGCTTTTGTCAATATGTACAGAGTTCATTTGTCTTCACTCTCCACCATGTGAAATCGTTCTGCTATTTTGGAATTATTATCAGACTTGCGCAAGTCTTCAGCCAGCTTGTTTAGGATACGCTGTTATTGAGTTAGCACAAGGTGACCGGATAAGATGAAGCTAAACCTGACCTGTGCTTCAGCAATACTTTCTTCTACAGTCGCATCAGGAATGTCTAATGGAATAGGACTGTCCTGTGGCGATATATCGAATAGTGCATTGATGTTGTTTTTGCCGTACAATTTCCATCTATGTTGCTTGCACAATAGGTGCTCGAGGAAGGATGTAGAGAATTTGAGGGATGACTTTTGATCTTCTGTCAAAGCGTCCGAAAGGTGGTTGTATACGCAAATAAAGGCGGCAACTCTGTAATGACCAGCGTTTCCGGAAGGGTGCTTGGAAAATCCCATCTCCTGTAGGCCTTTCCACGCGCCCTTATCACTTTGCAGCAGCCATGGGATCAGGTCCTCCTTCTCTGCATCGGTCGCCAATCCCAACGCGGCACATGTATTGACCACTTGAATTTTGTTTAAACCGTCCTTGAACCCGTCCAGTTGGAGTTCGGTTAGGGCGTTGAGTACCGCTCTCCATGTGGGTTTCTTGCCTCGGTATGATTCTGGATCCTGACCTAGCATCCCACCAAGAAGTCTCTCCCATGTCTCCTGAACTTTATCCGACCAGATATCCATAAGCTTTTCTCGTGTGGACATTGACGTTCCGTTCAGCGTTGGATTAAGCTTCATGCTGTTCGAGGCACTACCATAGTATCGTGGATTGTCAATGGCCATGGGAGCTAGGCCTTCCGTGATTGTGCGGTCTTGGTTTATGTTCTCAACGTCACTGAACTTTTGTATGGCCTCCAACAGCGACCCAAAAGGCGGGTTTAGAATCTGGACAGCGTGCTTCGTCTTTGTTCCTAGTCCGATTGAGTGCCAAGTCAGGATTTCTGAGAGTCCTGTTCGCGATGTTAACCTGTCAGCGATGTATCGTTCTTTGAGCATGCGAACACCCCAATTTTTCATCCGTATAGGATGAGTCTGGTCTGGATCATATGCCGCTTCTTCACCGGTGTCAAGTTTGAGCCCCATGAACATCCGCCCCCGAAGCGTGGTTTTGTCGAATTCATCCTCATTTTGCACCCAGCTGATAGCTTGCTGAAGCAGTACTGCTGTCGATTTCAGACAGATTTTCCCAGGAACAAGGAAGACTTTTTCGATGTGGACGGGCTTTGGTTTCGGTTTGGCCTTGATCTTGTGTACGGTTGGAGGCTTCGTGGCTGGAATGTCTGGTTCACCTTCTGGTAGGCGCTTTCCCTGCGCTATATCTAGCACTGTCTTCATCACCAGATCGCCAAGTTCTTTAGCGACAGTCTTGTATTCTGGAGCGGATTCTAGACATTTCTGCACGATGTGTGCAAGGTTTTCACCTGGATTGGCTTTTGATTTTGTCGTGGGATGGAGCTGTTTTGAGAGATTTGTGAACCTGCCAGGTTTGAGAAGGATTATTGCGGGGTTCTGTAGGAATCCCTCCAGGCTGTCAGAGTAAAAGGCTCCGTCGTTGTTGTCCATTGCAGCGTATATAACTTGCAATACCATCGATCGAACCAGATAACGGTTTTTAAGTACTTTGACATTGTCATAGTTCGCATCACTGCTATTTTCAAGCGCACGCAGGCCAGGGAGGAGATGGTGGATCTCAATGATCGTGATGATATAACTCACTGCACAATTGTACAGAGAGTCATCAGTGATTCCTGGTAAAGTTGCCGGGGGAGTTAGTGGGATGAAGCCCTTGGCAGTCGGTACGAGCCCGTAGAGGTCTTTCGGTAGCTTCTCGATATCGCCAGAGGGAAAGGTCCGTTTGAATTCGTTGTTGATTCTTGGGTCCCATTGCTTTGATCGTTCCTTCCCTTTGGGAGTTTGGGTTGTCCGGAGATAGAGAAGGCAATGGTGTATGAACTTCACGAATGATGGATCTCTCTCAAGCAGACGATCATATCCATTATGTCTGTAGTATTCACAAATCTCCTTGATCATTTTTGGACCTGTGTTCGTCATCCAGTCACTGACGGCAACGATGATATGACATCGTTGGGCCCTCAGGGCTTTGATAATGACTGAGTTAAGAAATCCCGCTGCCGCGTATGCTGGGTGCTTTTCAGCACTGGAAACAACCACATCAACAATCGTCTTCCTTTGCGAGGATGTCCAACTGTTGGCATCGGATATTATACATTTTGCCGATGCTAGTCCAGTGGCTACGGTCTTGATATCCTCTGCCAGTTCCCGCAATGTTTTGACTTTGAAGTCCTTGGGATTCAGGACGGACACGGATGCGTCTATGAGGTTGTCTCGTTCTGAAGTGATGGACTTCAGTTCAAATATGTTTGCAACAACATCCTCATCAATCTCAGTGCAGGAGGTTCGGTTCTTTGATGACATGGAGGGAGGTGGATCATACGCGATGTCAAGGGCACTGGGAGCTACCGTGAGGCTTGCTTTCGGAGCAGGGATGTTATGAGCTGCACAGTACGTTCTGAGGGTTGTTTGGGCACCATGGCTGTTTTCTTTGTTAGTATTAATTTATACACTGTTAGTAACGGTCTTACCTGAAAGCGTCTGCTGGTAGCCACTGGTCGGGATAGTCACCTTTCCACTGAACGAGGAATTCTCTTGTGCCACCCTGTACATCTGGTGTGAGATTTACGCAGTTGAATTGACAGTTTCCCCTTACCGTTTTTTGGTGCTTCACTATGCGTTCAAATTCGAATTCTTCCGTTGCCTGGTCTTCATGAGCTTGTTCCTTCTTGCGTTTCTTCGATGATTGTTTGGCTATAGCTCTTTCAAGATCATGTTCTTGCGTGATGGCCTCTGAACCTTTTTTCGGGGCTGACTCCCGTAGTCGAGCGGATTGGCGTACTGGGGCCACAACGACGTTTGGCTGCTGTGAATTCACTGGTGTCTGCAGCTGAGGAGTATCTATGTCCATGGATATGAGTTCATCGGTAGGGATATGCGGTGCAGGACCGGGCACTGAGTCACTGCTCAGATCTAGCGCCGATTCTCCCTCGGAAAGGTCAAGGTCTTGGATCATGGGTTCGAGATCATTGAGAGATGTTAACCGAGTTTGAACTGACGAGTCGATGTCCATAACATCATCCGTGTGGTCAATGTTGGATTTGCTATTATCGGGGGAGAGAGATGTGGTCGATGCAACTAGCAATGGTTGTGGCCGAACGAGCACAGCGAGGGCGGCGTCTTTGGCGACGTGGTCGATTTTTGCCTTGACCATTTTGAGTTGACTCCGAGAAACGGTGACCTCGTTTCGTAGGCAAATCTGATAATAAAACTGATAGTAACTGCGCCAGAGCTTTCGTGCTTCTGGGCTCATGACTGGCAACGCATCTCCAATTTGATATTGATGTCCGTCTTCATCTGCATAGGTGATTTTTTTAATCATCTCCATGAGATCCGGGATGTTCATTTGCGTGTGGTGCAGAAAGTTGTTGTTTATCCTGTAGAGCTCAGCTGCAAACCTGAAAGCTCGAGCATGGGCACTGCCCATTATGATTTTACCCTGTTGAGCAAAGTTCCCATATTGAGCTGGACGAGGGTGGTAGTTCCCAAATGGGATCTCTGGAGTCATCGCTAGTGTGCATGAGCGGTTGACCGCATGAGAGGAGAAGTAGCCGACATAGACAACACGGTTTACACACTCCTGATTCTTCCAGGTACGGCTTGGCTCGGGAAACATGTTATGAAAATCATCGAGTGCGCTTTGAATACCCCCAGGAGATTCTCCACAATGCAGGTCTCTCCCATTAAATACAAGGAAACATACATCGTTTCCAAATTCTTCAATGTAGAGTCCATCACGTATTAAGAAGAATCCGCCCGTGTGGCTCTTGCCCTTTGCGAGGCGAAATGCAATGGCAATGAGCGTTCTTCTGGTCAATGCATCGTATTGGTCACCATGAATCCATCCCTGTTTTCCAAGGGCAGTCTTGAGACGCTCGGATTGAAAAACGAGCCTGATGGCCTCCCCTAGAGTCGCACATTTCGACGCTTCCTCTATCGTGAGGAAGAGCCAGTCACCACTGCCTTCGTCGATTCCAGGCGTCTGATTGGCCGCAGTGGCTTTGTCGGACGTTGCAGGTCCCAGAGGTAGAGATGGGATTTGGTCATCCAATGGAGTGGTGGGTGAATGTGTGGGTGGTGATGGTTGTGATGGTGGGATAGATGTGGAGGATGCTGATGGCGATGTGGCTCCATTTGGTTCTGATGGATTGAACGACGTCGATACATTAGTCTGCACGGACGTTGGACCCGCCCGAAACCCCCCGATGGCCAAGACATTGTTGTCCTCTGAATGAAATTCAGTGAGGTCCCATTCAAGGCGTGAGACGCAGCAGGGGACAACTATCCTGTAGAACAGATAGATGAGTTCCAGTAGCCTTTTCCGTATATCATACAAATCGCCCGCTGATGCTTGTACAGCTGGAGCGAATATTCCTTTTCCTTCGCCCTTGATGATAGTACCTCCAATGCTGTAGGATCCGTTGACTGTGGTTTTGTCATCCGGATCCGCGTTCCTGGAGTTTTTGTTCATAAAAAAGTGGACGAGTCCCGGAATTGGTTTCCCGGCATGATCGATGTATCCATATGTTTTCTCAAGGAATTCTTCCAGAAGTCTCAATAAAGTCTCGTACTCCTCTTCAGCGAGGAGTCTTTTTAGCGTCTTGGTGTTGTGACAGCAGCCGACAAAGATCGGGCATTCATGGTCACCGTCAACTTCTGTGATGAATGGCACGCCCATTGGCATAGGAATTAGACCTGGTATTGGGTCTCTTGTTATGGAAGCTCGGTGGTAAACGTGAGGGGGGCGGTGCGGCATAATGACTCCTTGAAGTCTCTTCCTCAAGGCCTCTTTGTTTGTTTCGTCTGTCGACCATTGCTTGATGTACACTGCTCCCACTCGGAAACGTTTGTCCTTTTGGAGACGGTGAGGAAGAGCACGGGGATAGAAGGTTCCATCGTCTGGGTCTGCATCTGGCGGCATACATTGAAGAGTAAGAGGAAGGTCTTCAGGAACTTCCCCGATGAGATCATCTGGCCAATTGACATCGATGCCATCTTTTAACGGGTTCCGTGCTGGAACTTGGTCTCTCTCTCCAAAGAGGTCGAGGTCCGGAAGTTCTACTCATTAATATGTTAGGTTGTTTTCGGTTTAGTGATGTGCTAGACTCACGCCCTCTAAACGGTGTGCCAATCGGGTTAGCTTCTTGTATGCATTCTCTGAGCCATGCTAGATTTTTGGTTAGATGAGGACTAGCTTTGGATGCAGGAATATCTCACTGGACCGTATTTTGCTCGTTTGCATCGGGGCTTTACCTAGTTCAGTTAAGTATCGATGTAGAAGTGAGACGGGAGGTCTGCTTACCACATTTATTATGTGATATGTTGAGAAATGTTTTTTCTCTTTCTGAACGATCTTTGAGAAGGTCTACTATGTGTTTCACAGTTTCACCAACGCCAAAAAATTCACCTGTACATAATTCTTGTTTTATGGCGTTGTTGAAGGATTGTAGGCCTTCTCGGAGGTGTGTTGGTAGGGATATTGAGCTGTCCTGTCTTAGGAGTTGGAGAGATTCCTCCAGAATCACCAAGTCATCCCGGGACATGCTGTATAGATGGCTGTATGAGTATCAGTGAAGTTTCACTTGTTCCTGAAAGTGCCGCTCAAGTCACATGATCTGTTGATCTTGGTTCAACACAGCCACACGATCCAGGATGAACAGCGGCATCCACGGGCCGCCGCAATTCTTGCTTGGGTTAGGGGTGCACGCCAACTCGGTGGGGTCCCGGGCTGGTAATTGAAAGTAATGAGAATAAGGATTTATTATAATAGACTCCCATAAATTTATTTATTGCTTTTTTAAAACATCGTACCATCTCACCAGAAACGCCTACCATCTGTCAGCCGAATCTAAGCCCATGCCACTGGCAGACATTTTCCGTAGCTCTCAGACAGCGCGCCGTCGACCACCCTCTGCCCCAGCCCAACCATGAACCTAGAACGTTCTGCCCAAATCTGTGCAAGTGCCCGCCATGATAGCAGGCCCAGCCACCATCCAACGCCATCCCGTCACCACCACCTCTCCACTTATGAGGCTCACCAATGTCACCAGTTTGGATCAAACTCAATCTGAAGCTATATCGTCTGCTTGCCGGTGAAGGGACAGACGTCGTCCCAGAGTTCACCGCATGAGGAAGAGAGTTACAATTGTTTAATGCATGTGATTTTATTTACAAATAGAAGCCGGTTGTCACATAGTCACGGACTGGGGGGTCCGTCACACCATTGTCACGTTTAAAAGATGTCCAAAGCATTACGATGATCCTGTTCAGTAGGGCGACTCCCATTCTGTGAGATCCATGTAATAACCGGAGGACTGGGTCAGTGCCACAGCACGTTCAGGAAAATCACCGACCACAGCGGGTGTATGTTCCATCCATCTCGGCAACGTGGGTGCACGGCCAAAAGTGACGTAGAAACTGTCGCAGTAGAACTTGGCCATTTCGAACTCCAAAGACCTCACTGCTTCGTCTGTATACTTTCCCCTTTCAGTGCTTATACTCTCCGGGCATGCCTTCCATTTACTCATGACACGGCGCATGGAGCACACATAAGGAGCTCGGCACATCCAGCTGGTCTCCCCTAGGCCGTGGTTCGCCTCTGAAAGATCTACGTTCCAGCATTGGTCATACTGCCCCCGAGGGAAACAATGGCCCAAATGACGCAGGTGCTTGCGAACATCAGTCTCCCGATCGATCTCCCTCAAGTGTTTGTCCAAGGATAGGAATTCCAGCCGAAACCCTCGTTCCGCAAGCTCCCACAGGATCTCATGCATATTCTCCTTAGCGAGGTCAGCAGTTGGCTTTCCATACCAGTTCGCTGCCCCGGTGACTTCTTCCGTCATGGATAACTCATCAAGACAACCCTCGAGAAACTTGAGCGCGAGCTCTCGACGCTTCGTATCTCTTCCCCTCACCCGATCACGTTCTGCCGATCGGCCTACCCAGTCGTAGCTGAGAATGGTCCTCCACATTTGGTGGCTCAGTTTCGCTGGTCTGTACGAAGGCACTTGCATCGCCAGGTGGCCCGGGCGAAGCCTCAGCCAACTACTTATCGCACTCATCCGTTTCGAAGGCTCGGTGATCGTAACAAACAGATCTGGTCGTGGAAAAGCAAAAGGTGCAGCGGGAACATTGATTCTGTCCTTGCTGGCATCGATCGAGAGAAGACCATCTTTCCAAGGGGGGCTAATCTCCGGCAGGAGTTCATGATCGATCAGCACGAATCTGTTGAGGCTCTGAGGTTTTAGGTTTCCCCTTCTGGACCGCCCAGGCTCAGGGTGGTCTGTACCAGCCTTGTTAAAACCAAGCTGATAGCTGACAGGGCGAGTACTTACAAGGATGATAGATGGCATCTACAGGGCCACGCCCCACCCTCAATGGGGCTTTCAATGTATGGGCCGACCGCTGTTGTCCTGGCGTCCACAGGAATACATTCGGTGCTCCTAGGTGTGATTGCATGAAGCGGTCAAACACCTTGTATTTCTCTTCATCATCAGATGAACCAATGTACACCGATGGGAGACGAAGAGGGCATGTGCCCATGTGAACGCGGCTCCGAGTGTTGTGCAATATTCCCTGCCGATCGATTCGAGTATGAGGAAGGGTGTCGAGCGATCGGAGCAACCAAACTGGGACTCCAGCGCAAACGAATTGTTGGGCAATGCCTATGTCGGTAGTGAAGCATCCTACCATGTCCACATCTGCTTGGTGAATGTTGATCTGAACCGGGCCAGTGAACTTTGGGCGAAGGTGGGAAAAGAATTTCCAGATCGCTTCCACTTCGAGCACCAATCTTTGTGTTTCCGCCACGCATAGACATAGCCTGTGGTACGTAAGTGGGAGGCTGCTCAACCGCTCTAGGAACATGCTTGCGTATCCCATAAGTTGGTCAGCTCGGTCTGCCGCAGCAGTGGAAGCCTGGTCTGCACGGACCGTTGCTTTGCATCGTTGCATAATGGCCCTGCAGCGCTCTTGAAAGAGGCGTCTGGGTTTGGCAGCCCACAAACCCGGCCCCCGGATCAGGGAAGAGCGGTCCAGCTCCTCGAAATCTTTGAATAATGGTAGCGTAAAGAGAGGAAGATCTGGATCACATGCATCTCTTTCACATAGTCGAACGCATGGCAAATGCGGGCGTGCTCCGCAGTAAGGTTGTGGCCACGACATAGGGTCATCGTCACCATACCTGAAATCGTTCCTCATCCACATCTCTCGGTTTACTCCCAGCGGAGGTTCATAAAGGAGTGTACAATTAGGACTGGTAACGTATATGTGATCGTTCACGAGTGCCCCACTCAGGCCGTCCCATGCGCGCACAGCTGAGGAAATAGCACATTGGTATAGTCAAACTACCAGAACAAGTCACGTACGTTCATTCGGCGCAGCGAGCTTCGTCAACAAGGCCGGATTGCGGCGTATCGCTTCGGCTTGAGGAGAGGACATCCTGACAACGACGGGGCATGAGTCACCGGCAAGGAGGAGGCAGCTTCAACGCAGCAAGTCACTGTATCACCACCGACATACGTCCAAGTGGCCACACCGAGGCGACGACCGATAGGTCCAGTCACCGTAACATTGCTCCCGCAGAATCAAAAAAAGGGGATAGGATCGATCGCTATATCATGATTTCAAGATGAAGGGAGGGACTTACTTTGCGACCGGCCCTGGAGGCAGGAGAGAAAAGTGATCCAAATAAGCGGCAACACGCGACCACTCTGGGACGCCTTATTATCTAATATACTCAGTGGTCGGGTCCCATCATTCAACCAAGTTCATCCTTGGCCATGATCTTGCAACTGCTCCATGTGTTCCTGTATAAGGTCGCTACAGCTGCTGCCGACGGTTGGAGTGCCCTTTTCCAATCTTGTCCAGTGAAATCTCAACCAAAAGTACGTAACGCGACAGAGACATATTCTTGATCCTCAATGATAATGCTCGCAGGATTGTGATATCGACGGGCTTGATGACCAGCAAATATATGACCTGTGTCTGAGTCTTCCCTCTGAAGCGTGGATTTCTACAGAGACTGGGGAGGATTGCCCTGCGCGAATTAGCCTGGATGTCATTGGCAAGCGGATATATGACCGTCCGGCACCAGGTTCTCCGCCTGAGGCACTGGCCCAGGAACTAGTTCGCAATAGCACGAATATTCCTGTCCCCGCGATCCGTCGAGTTATTCCCCACGAAAAAGGTTGCGCCCTCATTGTCATGGACTACATCCCGGGAGTCAGCCTATCAGCCGCTTGGCCCCGCATGTCGTTGTGGCAGAAAATACGTACCGCATTGACGGTGCGACGCTACGTCCGCCAACTACGGTCCATTCCTCATCCCCGACCTGGTATTCCCGGCCCCTTGGCCGAAGGGGGTGTGCCTGTACCTTGCATCTCCCCCGCCATATTTTCTTTCATGAGACCAGTTCGGGGCCCCTTCACCACCACTGCCGAGTTCCTCGCGTACTTCAACACTGCACCCAAATTTGGCCCGGGTCTGCGTTTGCTCCCTCTGCCGAGGAAACCTACGTTGACGGATGAGAAGCTCGTGTTGAGCCATGCGGATTTGGCGCCACGGAATCTGATCGTAGGTGATGACGGTCAGCTGTGGTTGATAGACTTTGGTCACGCCGGTTTCTATCCGATATGGTTCGAATATGTGAACACGAGCATGGACGCACGGTTGGAGAGCGGAAGGGAATACGACCTGGCGTGGCGTACTCTTATCCCTTTCATCTGTGATCCTTACTATTATGTCCTAGAGTACATTCAGTCCGTGTATCTGCGTTAGTACCAACAGAGTCGTGTGGAAAGCCTGAAAAATTGATTGAAATGGGACAGAAACAAAATCAAAATCCGTTGTGAAGATAGGAACAAAAGGTACAGGTAGGTAGGTGCCCAATCGTGATCATAACCAACAGAAGTCTAAGAGGCCATAGCGACATACATAATCGATACGAAGGCAGACACAAGGATCCGCGCTTTAATCGACATCCTCGTCGACTACGTTGGACAAGGGATTCTCCCGAACATCAGCAACGTACTGGTCTGCTACCTGTCGCCAACTGGACTCGATGATTCCCTTCTCGGCCAAGTGGTGTAAACATTGGTATATCCAGCGCCGACAACCAGCCCCGTTCGCGTTGAGCTCGCCAGTATCAAGCCCTGCGGCAGCCAGTGAACGCAGGATGTCACCGAGAGTCACATCTTCACCGCACATGGGCACTGACGCTCGGGGAAACAAAGCCATCCCTGAGGGCGTTCCATCGCGCCCTTGACAACTGGTTAAGTATTATACGTCAACCCTTCATAGTCACAACATACAAACCGAACGCACGCAATGTACGAGACAAGCACCCCGTCTTGCCTGTATTTTTGCAGGTCCAACTGTACGCGTTGGTCATACATCGGAGATGAGGGACTGAGCAGGGAAAGATAGAAATGGGAGATCACGGTGGGTGGCACGTCTGGCGTCAGACAATTTTTCGAAACAATTTTGATTCGGGTGACCGGTTCTTGGTAACGGTCTTCTTGAAGCTTGGTCTCAATCCGGCCAAAATCCTACGGTCGGTGGGAGCGTGAGTAAATGCTCGTCGACATCGTAAGAGCAATGACAATCTCACCGGATGATAGGAGCTCATGCCTGGACAAGTGTTCTTGGAGGTGGGGGGTTGGGGGCGCGGAGAGCTAAACAATCAGACTTAATGGTTGTATGCATCCGCAATCAGCAAGCCGATTGGACGCAAGCGAAGTGGCGTCCCATAGATTAGACACCATTTTGGTGTTGCTCCACACTACCACGCCTACCCCAGAAGTTAGAACCCAAACTAGCACAGCCAATCCTTGAGAAGGATCATGAAAGCTTGTAGCAGGCCCTGCGAAGAAGCGTGGGTGGCGAACACAGCATGATTGGCAGATGTACCAACAAAAGCTAAGTCGTGGAGGTTAACAATGTTCAGATAGATAGGCCAGTCCGACCATTTTGAATTGAAGTCTTCGCCACGTCCCGACTCCCCAGGTCATGAGCAAGAAGACGGTGTCGGTCACATGACTAGACCAGGATGGGTAAATGTGTGACTGACCGGGCACTTGGTCACACAGCGTGACAGGAAAGGCCCGAGGGGTGTTAGAGCGCTTTGAGAAGGCAGGGAATTGGAGCAAATTTTCAACCTGTGACCTACTGCAAGCTTGGGCCATGGGCGAGCCCTCCGCCATTCGTAAGTTCACTTCTTAATCCAAGTCCCTGGTGTGCAGCCTCTTCCGTCCCTGGCGAACCAAGAAGCTGGATCTTAATGGTCGCTTCTCCTTGCGCGTTTAGACGTATGTCGGCGCTGGCAGCCGCAAATTCATCTTCGCGTATTCCACGGGTTCCAAAATGATGTACTGATCGTCCGGCATCAGTGCAACATGCAGCAGACTCCAAGCTATTCAAGTCGTTTCCATTACACAATCGTTCGCGACTTTTGGCGTATCCGGCACGTCTGTCCAGAGAGGAAGAAAGCGTAGCGCACGACACGAATGGCGCAACGGCTGCAGTCGTCA